GTAGCTGGTTACCTTTTCCCAAAATGTGAGCAAATTGGTAAGGCATTATTTGTTCTTAACAAATCCATATTGTGTCGATTGTACAAGGTTGTTCACTGAAAGATGGTGAATGATTCCCTCCCTGAGGATTCTCTCCATGAGCTTGCAGATGTGGTCTAATGGTCTATTAAGACGTGGTCTAATGGTTACCTTGTTATGATTTCGGGCTCAACGTCCCTGCGGTTCGGTCCTTGGCCTAATGGTGCACTGTTGCTGGATGGTGTACTAAGGACAACAATGCTCCTCTGCCTGACTGGTCAACCAGGCTGTTGGACGGGACTGCTCGCAACCTGACGTATAAACCACAGCCTGGTTTATCAGGTATCGTTGGGAGATGTTTTATCAAGTTCTCTCTTGAACACTGTGAGGGGTCGGCCAGTTATGCCCCTTATGTGTAGTGGAAGTGTGTTGAACAGTCTCGGACCTCTAATGTTGATAGTTCTCTCTCAGAGTACCTATTGCACCTCTGCTCTTCAACGAGGGTTTCTGCACATCCTGCCATGCCTTCTGGTCTCATGTGGTGTTATTTCTGTGCAGTGCAGTACTATTTTCCACGTGTAAATTATTATGTATATCTCCCGCCTGCTCTCAAGATAATACAGATTTAGGCATTTTAGTCGGTTCCAATAGTCTGAATGTTTTACCGAGTGGATTCTAGCAGTAAAGGATCTCTGCACACTTTTCAGATCACCAATTTATCCAGCTTTGAAAGGGACTGTCATTGTGCAATAGTATTCCACTCTAGAGAGCACTAGCATCTTGAAAATTATCATCAATGATCTTGCATCTCTAGTTTGAAAAATTGGTGTTATCCAACCAGTCATTTTTCTTGCAGTTGTGGCGGCTACTTTATTGTGTTTTTTAAATGTAAACCCGTCTGACATGAGTACACCCAAATCCTTTACATTACTTTTTCGTTCATGTTATGATTTGACTGCGTTTTGTTCGTTGTTTCCGTTTTTATATTTTAATTTTTTACGTAGCGCAGGAGCTGGAGCTTATCTTCATTAAATACCATATTATTTTCTGTAGCCCATCAAAAGACCTTACATCTGATTGGAGGTTTGCTGTGTCCTCTATGTTGTCTACTCTCATAAAAATCCTAGTGTTATCTGCAAAGGATATACGGTACAATAGATTGTGCCTGTGTCAGATATGTGGATGATAAAAAATACTGGAGCAAGCACAGTACCCTGGGGGACTGAGCTCTTCACAGTTGATGGCCCGGATTTTATTTTGTTGACTATTACACATTGGGTTCTTTTAGTCAGGAACTTGTAGATCCATCTGCCTATTTTTCCGGTAATTCCTTTCGAACACAATTTATGTGCAACAACACCATGGTCACATTTGTCGAAGGCTTTTGCAAAATCTGTGTAAATTACATCAGCGTTTTGTTTGTCATGGCCTGTAAGGTCATGCTATTGTGGTCCAGCAACTATAGTCAAGAGCGCCCTGTTCTGAAACCATGTTGTCCAGGGTTATGGAGATGATGTGATTCCATGTATTTTTGTTATTTTACTTCTTAGCAATCTTTTCAAAGATTTTTATAATATGCGATGTTAGTGCAAAGATAACGCCAGTATCTAGGCTCTGTCTCCAAAGAATGTAAAGGGCCTACAATAGTGGTTTCTTGTCGTTCTTGATGAATATAGTTCCAAGAATCAGTGCTTTGTGCGGAGTGCATAGGCATATGGCTTCTTCAAAATCCAGTGGGAATAGGGTGACATCTGATATATGATTTGATGTTGGTATCACATCCATGACAAATTATTGGGATTATCAATCTTCAGTGTGTAGTGGCTCGCTGAAAACAGGGTCGTACTGATTTCTCAGTATTTCGCTAATTTCATTATTGTCATCAGTGAAAGTTCCTTCTCCCTTTCGCAGGGGCCAGATACTAAATGTAATTGTTTATCTTGATTTTGCAAAGGATAAAAAGTATTTCAGATATATCTCTATTTCACTGATGGCCTTTTGCTTTCCTTGTCTCTCCTGGATTTTGAAGGCTGGGTGCACTAAGACGTGTTCTAATGATGTACTAAGATGTAGTCTAATGGTGTACTAAGATGTGGTCTAATGGTGTACTAAGACGTATCTAATGGTTATCTTGAGATGATTTTGGACTTAGCGTCCCCGCGGCCCTTCCCTCGACTAGGCCTTTTTTTTTTTTGTCACATCCCCAGGAAGCAGCCCGTAGCTGCCGTCTAACTCCCAGGTACCTATTTATTGCTAGGTGAACAGGAGAATCATGGTGAAAGAAATTACCCATTTGTTTCCTCCTCCGCCGGAGATTGAACCCCGAAACTTAAGACTACGAATCCCGAGCGATGCCCACACACCAATTAGGCCCCCTAAGTGTACTAAGGCGTACACTAAAACGTGGTCTAGTGTTACATGGGATTGTGTCGGGGCCGAGGGTATGCCAGGCTGGAGTACTACTGTACTGGTCTCCCCCAGACAGGAGCACATTACTGCGTGGTGACGCTGTACTGGTCTCCCCCAGACAGGAGCACATGGCTGCGTGGTGACGCTGTACTGGTCTCCTCCAGACAGGAGCACATTACTGCGTGGTGACGCTGTACTGGTCTCCCCCAGACAGGAGCACATGGCTGCGTGGTGACGCTGTACTGGTCTCCCCCAGACAGGAGCACATGGCTGCGTGGTGACGCTGTACTGGTCTCCTCCAGACAGGAGCACATGGCTGCGTGGTGACGCTGTACTGGTCTCCTCCAGACAGGAGCACATTACTGCGTGGTGACGCTGTACTGGTCTCCCCCAGACAGGAGCACATGGCTGCGTGGTGACGCTGTACTGGTCTCCCCCAGACAGGAGCACATGGCTGCGTGGTGACGCTGTACTGGTCTCCCCCAGACAGGAGCACATGGCTGCGTGGTGACGCTGTACTGGTCTCCCCCAGACAGGAGCACATGGCTGCGTGGTGACGCTGTACTGGTCTCTCCAAGACAGCAGCACATGACTGCGTGGTGACGCTGTACTGGTCTCCCCCAGACAGGAGCACATGGCTGCGTGGTGACGCTGTACTGGTCTCTCCAAGACAGCAGCACATGACTGCGTGGTGACGATGCTCCACAATCTCCACCTCATACGTTTTGAACAATTGTCATTGGCGCAGCAAGCGAGAGCTGAGGTGCAGGCCAAGCCGCTTTAATATGCTGATTTAAGTAATAAACTTTCAAATGTCATACATCTGCCAATGGATATCATAAATGTAACTCAGCAATGATCTAGTAGTATTAGAGGAAAGATATATATCAATGATACGTGATTGTTTCAAATTTGAAGGTAGTAAATAATGTTGAGGCTACAGGCGGCAAGAACCCAGCCACGCTGCGTCCTGCCGCTCTCTCTCGCACTACACACCAGGTATTTTCTACCAATATTTTCATAATTTCTGAATTCCCACTGGCCATAAATTATAATAATGTTGACAGTGTTAAGTACTAAGCTGCGTAGAAAGCGAATTCAACGGAGATAATTAGAAATATGTGTCGTTTGTGGTGATTTTCGTGGTGAACATGAATCAGTAACACTGGGCCTGCGCGCTGGTGCCACGTGTGGAATACTTGGCTATATGTTACACTATGGCGTTACGTCACCTCAGTTTCTGTTACATTTATTGTGCACCGTGTCTGCCATACAAGTATATATATTTTTTATTTCGTGTATTGTGTATTCAGTTCAAACTTGTGGCCGTATTCAGATTTAACTTTGGCAACACTTGCATATATATATAATGCTGACGTGTTCCTACTTCACATATGCAGTTCCAACTGCAGTCCCCGTGGCGAAGTGTTAACACACTCGCCTGGCGTTTTGCGAGCGCTTAAGGTCTACAAGCGCTTTGGCTGGCCAGGGAGGATTGACTGGGCGCCAATTCTTAACTAGCCTCTGTCCACCCAGCAATGAGGGGTCGTAGTCCTAGGGTTCTATTCCTGGTCGTAGTAAGTAGATCCTGGGAATTAGCTGCTGGGAATGTGTGAATATGTGAGGAGAGAGAGAAATATGTAGTAGATATGACAGAAACAATAGGTCGGGACTCAGTACATTACACAACTGACGGTTACAAAGGCGGGGTGCAAATGCTAACAGCTCGATCCTGCAGGCAAAAATTTTAAATGCACACACATACATAAAATTGCACTAGGGAGTATCACTTCTGGTGCAATTGTGGGAACCCATAGCCTCGGAGAAGGAAACACAGAGCATTCAGAGAAAAACTTGACGTTTGACTATACTTGGGGACTATCCATGCCACGTTACATGACGACTAACCATATTAACGTGGGAAATAATTAACATTTCATTCACTTGGACCATCGAAGTCTCGACCGTGGACCACAAAAGTATCAGCTTGCAGTCCTTCCAACACACGGAGATTTTAGTCTCCGTGGTGTAGTGGTAATTAAGACACTCGCCTGGCGTTCCGCGAGCGCTATGTCATGGGTTCGTATCCTGGCCGGGGAGGATTTACTGGGCGCAAATCCTTAACTGTAGCCTCTGTTTAACTCAACAGTAAAATGTGTACTTGGTTGTAAAAACGATTCTTCGCGGCGGGGATCGTATTCCAGGGACCTGCCCGAAACGCTACGCGTACTAATGGCTGTATAAGAATGTAACAACTCTTGTATATATCTAAAAAAAAAAAAGAAAAAAACACAATGAGGAAGGATCCCAGAGATATCCATCTATAGTATCCAACTTGAACTTTAGGTCTTTGTTCGAGTGCCACATTTACACATCTGAGTGCAAGAAGTATGACAAATTGTTCGGCTTGAGGATAGTCGAAACGTTTTGGCATTATTTTGTGGTTGGACAAGAGGAAAGCGGCACGAATACAACCTGTAGATACCATGGCTCACTCTGCACTGATACTTCCACCTGTGTGGGTTGATGTTGAGCTTAATTTAATTTATACAAGTTCCTATTATTAAAGCAACAAATTTTACTACAAAGAATGATTATCATAATTCTGGCTCGCCTACCCAAGTGAATACAGTATTTAATACTATATATGAGCCTGGTTATAGCTGGCACACCCCCAATTGGTGTGTAGTTCGTATCAAGAAACTTTATCGTCCATTTATTCAGTGCTTGGGAAAGTGGAGTGAAGGTGAAGGTGTGGTAAGTTCTAATTGACATAAACTACCAAGGTAAGACTAATCTAATAAGTGCATGTAATCCTATTAGGAATTGCAACTGTATACATAGAATTACAACCAACCCATTCAATTATTTTAAATACAATACATTATCCTTGTATATTACAGCGCAAGTGCCATATTTGTTGACTAATGAATTTTGACATATCCTAAGATAATTAAATATCAATTCGATCTAATTTAATATATTACTTCAAGACAACGTACTTAACAACCTATGTATCTATTAGACTTACTTTCAAGCCAACCTTACCAAACGTGCTCGAACACAACATTACAATAGAAATCAAAACAGTTTTAATTTAATCTATTTGAGGACGCAAACTTTCCCCTATATTCGTCAAACATGCAGCTTGCTCCAATCTCACTGTATATGCGTTATATAGTTCCTCGGAAGATTTAGTGCGGTCATCAACATCATTAATGACTGATATGTATGTGATTAGTGACAATGTATGTGTGTGAGAAGAACAAGCTACGTGTCTCCTCGGCAAGCATTTCGTCACACATGTGACTGAATATTCAAATAACTGCATTCCACACTAAAACGGGTAATACTGATACTCACGATTATACCTTGCGATGATTTCGGGGCTTAGCGTCCCCGCGATCCGGTCCCCAACCAGGCCTCCTGGTCGGGAGTTTCGATTCTTACCCGCTAATCAAAATTTAAAAAAAAATCAGTAAATAAAACATTGCTCACAACCTGCATTACGAGTAATATATCTCCTGGCACGTGCTGGTCAGGTCCCCGTGGCTGCTGGCTCCATACAGTACTGGCTTACCTCGTCAATGCGTATTACAGCCGCTCGCATCCCGCCGAAAACGTTTTGTGCGTTTTGTTGTCGCTATAAACGATTGTGGTGCACCGTTCTCTATACCCGCTGTTCAAGTACGTTTATTGAGATAATAAAATACATCTCAAACGGATGGAGTAACTCAAACTATTTCTACCCTCTCAACCCTTAACCAGCAGCTTAGGCTATTTCTGCTCCCCACCTTACTCGCAGTTTAGACTATTTCTACTATGGATCATCCAATAAAATCAGCAGACTTCTAGATGTTACTACTGCTTGGGTTAGACTCGGTTACAAGTATCTCTGGGAATTCTCCATAGATCAACCGGCAATTATACTGCCGTAATAAACATAGTTGAAGACTCAGGTATACACAGACAGGAGACACTAAATTACAAGCCGGTGTGACTGACAAGTGTTCCGTGTAAAGTGCTGGAGAGAGTATATAGTCAGGTCGAGAATATTGGAGCACCTAGAGACGATAAACCTGGAACGGAACGACAGCGTGATTTTGAAGGGGAAAGTCATGCCTGATAAACTTTATCGAGTTTACACAATCGACTTGAGAATGGTCCAAGATGGACCGAAACGTCGTCGTCCCTTCACTTTCTAGTGTATGGTTTGGTCAACATATTTCAGCCACGTTATTGTGACTCCTCGTCTGCAAGATTACTAGAACACGACAGGAAAAATATGACTGGGTAAATTTTTTTTCTAGACCCAAACAGCTTTTGATACTGTTCCTCACAAAAGGGTCGCGTACAAGATGGAGAACCAAGCTTGGGTAATTGTGAAGACACTAAACTGGGTAATTGAAGAAGACAAAGAGTCACAATCAGAGGCGAGGTCTCCAGCTGGAGGAATGTAACAAGTGGAGTTCCCCCAAATATTAGTCCTGGGACCACTACTGTTCCTAATTTATGTTAATGATCTTCCTGAGGGAGCGAGCTCGTACATGCCAATTTTTGCAGACGATGCAAACATAATAAGGAATGTAAAGACAGAGGAGGACTGCAGAATGAAGGAAGACCTTGACGAACTCCAGGAGTGAGTGGAGTCTGGCCCTAACTTCGGTAGGGGACAAACGTGTTGCCTCGCGCTCCGGCAGTAGGTGTTGTTTACCAATTTGGCTGGTTGGGGGCAGGTGTCTCTCTGCCCGCCTGTGCTGACGTGGAGTTACGATGGGGGTCCCTCTCCCCCCTGTCGTCCGGGCTCAGTCTGTGGGACTCGAATTCTCTGTGCGGGCTGGTTACCCGGAGATTGCGCTGGCTTGTGATTTGCTATCTGTCCCTGTGTTAGCAATTTATGGGGTCGAGTTGATAACGGCCCGTCGGGCGATAGTGAAATCACGGAGGAGATGGCGTTTTGCGATTTTCTCCGGCGATACGAGGGGCGGACATTGCCCCTGCCGGATGGTGCGGGCACTGTGACCCTCTCTGATCGAAGTGGTGCCCTCACTTATGTCATTGTGCATGGGGCTCCCTTGGAGTTTCCGGAGGGTCTGCTACGGCGGTATTTCGGCCGGTTTGGCGCAGTGGTTAGTGTGCGGGTGAACGTGGTGTCTTCCAGTTCACTTAAGGGTGTGAGGACTAACATTCGCACCCTGGGCATGAGACTCCGGGTCAGATATTCCGTCCTCTGTGCGCCTTATGGGGTACAACATTCGGGTGTTTTACGCCCGCCAGCCGCGGACGTGTTATCGTTGTGGTCTTTTGGGCCATCAGGCTGCTGACTGTTCTGCGCATGACGTTGCGCCAGTGAATCTCTTCAGTGAGGAGGATTTTCCGCCGCTTCCTGTGGGGGATGATTCGGTGGATGTGGACGTCTCTTCGGCTGAGGAGGTGCCCTCTGTATCAGCTGTTGCTCCGTCTGTTGCGCCCCTTGTTGTTGTTGCCTCTCCTCCGGAGGTTGTGTCCTCGCCTGGTGCTCCGCCTGCTCCGGCTGGTGTCCCTGAGCCTCTTCCGACTGCCGTCTGCTCGGACCCCTCGTCTTCCAGTTCTTCCTCTGCTGTGTCTGTCCTGGTCCCTGCACCCTCGCCGTCTGTTCCGGCTGTGGTGGTAGCTGGGGTGGACCCGGCGCTTCCTCCTGTGCCTGGCCTGGTGCCCCATGTGGTTGAGGATGCTGCCGTACTGCGGCGTGCGTCGGTTCGCCCGGCTAGTGTTGCGCGTGTCGCTGAGTCTGCCTCCGGGTCTGATGATGTGCGGCCCGAGCCTAAGCGTTCCCGGCGTTCTTCTGCGTGGGCTGAAGTTGGCGACTTCGACGAGTGTCGTCCTTCCGGTGACGGTGGGGTGGCTCCGGTTGTGGTGCACACTACGGTGGTGGCGGAGGTACACTTGCCTGAGGATGCCGGTGCCGGTGTTTCGGCCTCCCCTTCTGGTCTGGTGTCCGAGGGTCCTGCTTCAGGTGCGTTGTATGTCATAAAGCAATCAACCAACCATCCAGCTATAGCAACTTTAATTTGTTTCAGGCACTCGCTTATCACTGGCAACTCAGCTTCGCTAGAAATAATTATGGTTGTAACAAACTACAACTTACTGATGTGTACAACGGTGTAGCAGATCTGCTGGATATAATAACACCAACGGTCAGCAGGTGAAGCAAGAATACCTCTACCTGTATACAGTACGTATTTACTATTAAGTAATTACTACCACAAAGAGATGGCTTATTGACAATTAAGCCTTCTCAGTTTTTGTTTTAGTCAAAGTGTTCAGGAGTGTGAGCCTGGCTGTGTTACATGATACCCTCGAGGTATCGTCTAAGCTTCTGAGCCTCGAGGTCTCTGAGCTTCGGGAACCAGTTTCTCCATGTGTTCCGGTATTATACTATCGACATACAGTTGTATGTTGTACTATACAATCCAGTACTATACAATCAATATACAGTTGTAAAAATCAAATGATATAACAATTCATTGTATCGGGGTACAGGAAACCAGGTTATACATACAGTATACGTTAGGCTTATATCGAGATCTCTTTCCCCCCCCCCCCGGGGTCGAATTACTGACCCCGCCCAGGAACAAACCCCACAACAAGCTGACTAGCCCCTGGGTATTATTTACTGCTAGGTGGATAGGTGCATGAGGTGAAAGGAAACGCTCCCAACCATTTCTGTGCCTCCCGGGATTCGAACCCGGAATTCTCGAGAGTGAGTATAGAAAGAACCCGACTGTACTATCAGGACCTTCCAGTGATTGATTTGGCCAATATGACCCTCCATTATGGTTGAATACTTTTGTTGTCTGCAGTGCATTCTCTTTTACAGGAAAGACACCAAGATGAAAAAGGTTTTGAAAAACTCCCAGACACAGGATAAGTCTGAAGAGTCAGGCAACTCGAGCAAGAAACCAAAGAACGACGGCAGTGGGACAGCAGGAGATGCAGGTACTTCAAGCACTTCTGACCTGCACAACGATCCCATTGCACAAAGAAACAAAATGATTCAAATGCTTCGGTTGAAACGAGGGTATCCACCATCTTTCGGCTTCAGTGATAGGGAGTTCTTGATGTCCATGGACCCAGAAGATCTGCGTTATATGATGAGATCGTTGGATCGACGGCGGGACCCATTTGGGTATTCTTCTTGGGGATCAGCGGGACCCTACAGATCCAGCTCACCTGAAGAGGACCCCGTAGATGAACAGTCAAGAAAACAGATGGAGTGGTCCCCACCTGAGATGGTGGAGCCTGAGAAGATAGATGAAGAGGAACAGGGTGTGAAGGACCATGGAGAACTGAATACGGAAACTGTGCTCTACGTCATCAAGGAGAAGGTCAGTCAGCCATTATCTCTGTACACTCTACTGCTGTTGAAATACAAATAGTTTAATTAAAGATTAATGTACATATTTTAAGAGAAAGTAATGAACATGAGCCGAGCTGAGAAAATAATAATTTATGTTGCTAATTAATATAATTATTTACATCAGTGTTCTCGCTCAAAAAGTTAGATGACATCCCATCACCCACACAAATGTTTTAAGGAGGGCAGGAGAATGAATTTAGGGATATACCCATTATATAATATGTCAAAATAAATTATTTTTTAATTTATAACGTATATATACAGTATACATATCTATATAAATAAAATGGAAATGTTCGTTTGTTCAAAATCGCTAATCTCCGAAAGTTTGTTACCGATTGCTTTGATATTTTCACACAATGTTCCATTCACATCTGATCGGGTTTTTATATTCATACTATATTGATGTCACGTCTGTGACGGAAAAAGCATGTTTTTTTGGAAAACTGTGTTTTTCCATGTGTTTTTCATGTGAGAAATCTTCGAAACCTCTTTACCGATTGCTTTGAAATTTTGACACGACGTTGCATTCGAATAGGCGCGTGTTTTTATATACCTACTATATACATGCCTCACCTGTGACAGGAAAAAACATGTTTTTTTTAAAAACAGTGCCATTTGTTAGACGTAAGAGCAACACACGCTATAATCTCCCAAAGTTCTTCACCGATTGCTTTAAAATTCTGATACAACGTTCCATTCGAATATGCACATGTTTTTATATACCTACTATATAGATGCCACACCTGTGACAGGTAAAAACATGTTTTATTCAAAAACAGCGCCATCTGTTGCATGTAATAGCAACACACACACACTATACTAAATTGGTCACGAATTCCATTTCAATGTTTCCGATTGCATTGATAAATTTAATTTTCATAGATTTCGATTTATTTTAATTTTTATTGAATTATTTTATGTGACATTGTGTTGGAATTGAGCTGTGTTGTTTACCATGCCGTTCATTTTGTTAGTATAGATGTTACACCTGTGACAGGTAAACACTTTTTTTTTTTTAAGAAACAGCGCCATCTGCTGCATGTAAGAGCCACACACGCTATACTAAATATGGTCTGATTCCATTTCAATGTTTTCGATTGCATTGACAAATTAAATTTTCATACATTTCGATTTATTTTCATTTTGATTTCAATATTTTGTGTGACATTGCATTGGAATTGAGCTTTGTTGTTTACCATACCGTTCATTTCGTGAGTATAATTTATTTTTTATTTTTTTCATTTTTTCATTTCGTTTTTAATTGTTTTTCATATATTTCAGTGATGGGAACATTAGATCATTTGATGTTCCCAATTTTCTGTTGAGAACATCAGATCATTTGGGAATGCATCAAACGAGGGATTGGGGAATGGTGGGGAGGACGAGGGGACAGGGGAGGGGGGGAATGGTAGGGAGGACGAGGCGACGGGGGAGTGGTGGATGGTGGGGAGGACATAGGGATAGGGGAGGGAGGGAGGAAATGGTGGGGAAGACGAGGGGACGGGGGAGTGGGGAATGATTGGGAGGACGAGGGGACGGGGATGGGGAATGGTGGGGAGGACTGGGAGACAGGGGGAGGGTTGCTGTTGCTCAACAATTTGTGGCCGGGTACAGTTAATATATATATATATATATATATATATATATATATATATATATATATATATATATATATATATATATATATATATATATATATATATGTCGTACCTAGTAGCCAGAACGCACTTCTCAGCCTAATATGCAAGGCCCAATTTGCCTAATAAGCCTAGTTTTCATGAATTAATTGTTTTTCGACTACCTAACCTAACCTAACCTAACCTAACCTAACCTAACTTTTTCGGCTACCTAACCGAACCTAACCTATAGAGATAGGTTAGGTTAGGTTAGGTAGGGTTGGTTAGGTTCTGTCATATATCTACGTTAATTTTAATTCCAATAACAAAAAATTGACCTCATACATAATGAAATGGGTAGCTTTATCATTTCATAAGAAAAAAATTAGAGAAAATATATTAATTCATGAAAACTTGGCTTATTAGGCAAATCGGGCCTTGCATAGTAGGCCGAGAAGTGCGTTCTGGCTACTAGGTACGACATATATATATATATATATATATATATATATATATATATATATATATGTCGTACCTAGTAGCCAGAACGCACTTCTCGGCCTAATATGCATGGCCCGATTTGCCTAATAAGCCAAGTTTTCCTGAATTAATATATTTTCTCTAATTTTTTTCTTATAAAATAATAAAGCTACCCATTTCATTACGTATGAGGTCAATTTTTTTTTATTGGAGTTAAAATTAATGTAGATATATGACCGAACCTAACCAACCCTACCTAACCTAACCTAACCTATCTTTATAGGTTAGGTTAGGTTAGGTAGCCGAAAAAGTTAGGTTAGGTTAGGTTAGGTAGGTTAGGTAGTCGAAAAGTAATTAATTCATGAAAAATTGGCTTATTAGGCAAATCGGGCCTTGCATAGTAGGCTGAGAAGTGCATTCTGGCTACTAGGTACGACATATATATATATATATATATATATATATATATATATATATATATATATATATATATATATATATATATATATATATAAATTCAAGTACCTGGGGACTCGCTCCCGGGTACTTGAATTTACCTGAGGGCCACTAACACTCTAATGGCCTCGACGAGGATAGAAAGCCAGCAGCTTGTCAAAGGTCCACCCATTTGCCTTGATTATTGTTTTCAGCTGGATTTTAACATTTAAAAGTTTTTTGCATTTACGGCATCGGCGGGTAGGCAGTTCCACGGGTTTATAACTCTGTGGGAGGAAAAAGCATCTCCTGTTCTTAGTCCTACATTGTGGCTTGTTGAGCGTGAAACCGTTACTCCTTTTTTGTGTTACATCTGAACTTCTGAAGAAAATATCCAGACCAACATCGGACATTCAGTATCTTGTTCAGTATTTTAAAAGTTTCAATGAGATCCGCCCAGTCATGCCAGGTTTGTAGTGTTGTTAGCCCTGTGGCCCTCAACCGTTCCTGATACTGGAGATGGCTTAGCTCTGGAATGACTTTTGTTGCCTGGTGTTGCACCTCCTCCAGAGCAGCTATGTCATTCTGAAGATGAGGTCTCCATGCTTGGATACAGTAATTCAAATGAGGGCGCACCAGAGATTTATACATTTGAACCATTACCTTCTTTTCCATATAGTCAAAAGTACGCTTGATTATCCCAACAGTTTGGTTAGCTTTTCTGACTGCTGCACCCACCTGTTGTGCAACTTTGAATGAGTGGTGGATTTTGACTCCAAGGTACTTTTCTTCGTCAATCTGCTGCAATGTAATGTTATTAATTTGGTAGTTGTGGCGTGGGTTGTTATGCCCCCACATGCAAGGTCTTGCATTTGTCGACATTAAAAAGCATTAGCCAGTCTTCTGACCATTTGTGGAGTTCATGTATATCTCTTTGTAAGGCTTCAATATCATTAACATTTCCCACTTTACCATAAAACTTTGTGTCATCTGCAAATTTGATGATATGGTTTGTAATATTCTCGTCTGTCATTGATGTATATGACAAAAAAGGTAGGTCCCAAAATGGACTCTTGTGGTACCTCACTTACATTTCTCTATTCAGATTCGTTTCCATTTTGCACGACCCTTTGTTTTCTTTCCTTCAACCATTGTTTTATCCATTCTTATTCTGGTATCATTTTACCATTTATGCCATGGGGCTGTAATTTCTTATCCATTCTTTCATGTGGTACCTTATCAAAAGCTTTAGCAAAATCCATGTATATTACATCCACTGGAAGGTCTTTGTCTGAGTAGCTGGTTACCTTTTCCCAAAATGTGAGCAAATTGGCGTGGCAGGAATTGTTCTTAACAAATCCATATTGTGTCGATTGTACAATGTTGTTCACTGGAAGATGGTGAATGATTCCCTCCCTGAGGAGTCTCTCCATGAGCTTGTAGATGTGTGATGTCAAGCTGATCGGATCGTAGTTTCTGCTGAGCGTTTTCTGCTCTTTTTGAAAATAGGGGAAGACATTTGCATATTTCCACTCTAGAGGGACATTCCCTTGGTCCAGAAATTTTGTGAAAAGTAGTTACATCGGTAGGCATAGTTCTTCTGCAAGTTCCTTATGACTTTGGATTGGATTCCATCGACACCTGGGACTTTTGAGTCTTTTAATTTGTCAATGTTCTAATTATTTCACATGTTATGGGTATATCCCTAAATTCATTCTCCTCCCCTCCATCAAACATTTGTGTGGGTGCTGGGTTGCCATCCAACTTTTCTAGCGTGAACACTGGTGTAAATAATTATTTAGAATGTTTGCTGCCTTTTTAGCATTCATTATAGATTGGCTAGTCTCATCTATTAAGGCTCCAACTGAGTCCTTTGATTTAATTTTACCTCTTATACAGGCATAGAACAATTTTTAGTTCTTTCTTTATGTTTTGGGCAAGTTTTCTTTCGTAGCCTCTTTGGCTGCTGTAATTTTCTGAGTGGCCGAGTTTAGTGCCGTTTTGTATATCTCATAATGAATTATCTCCATCGTGGATATATAAGTTCTCCAGAGGTTCCTCTCGGTTACCAATGCTTGTTTTACGACCTGTGTCATCCATCTAGTTCCTTTTCTTGTCTTTCTTCTTTTCGGGACATATTTTTGAACGAGTTCCGAGATGACACTCTTGTTCAAATTTTGCCATGATGCGTCCGTACCATCATTGCTACTTGCTCCTTGTTTGTGTTATAGTACATCTGACCTTTTGAAGAAATTGTCTGGATCAACTGGGACCTATTTCCTGTTAGGTGAAAAGAGACATTAAGTAAAAGAAAATGTGCCCAACCATTTTTGTCCCACCTATGATTCAAACTCAGGATTCCCGATTATGAGTCGAGAACAAACTCACCTGTACTATCTGGTAGAGATATTTAATGTTTTTATCATGTTTGTTCTGTTTTTCTTTCATATTTCTTGCAACAGGTTTATATTACGTAACTAGAGAGCATCTAATCATATCAACATACTTGAATTTTTTGCTAAAACAAGGATAAATATCCTTGTTTTAGCTAAATAGGCTACTCCAAATATATTCTCACTCCAACCATATTACCCATATTTTGATATGTATGTTCAGAAGAGAGCGTGTTTTTATGTTAAGATTATAATACAGTACAGTATTGTCTTGCAAGGTATGCTTGACATGAGAATCTCCTTTGATTAGCCGAGCTTGAAGCATCTAGTTTTATCAGATATGCAGTTCGTTACAATAATGCTATTATTTTACTATATCTTGTATTCAGAATGACGATGGTGAAGAGAAGACCCACACTGTGCTCCAGATGCCATCTAGTGTGCCAGACTTATTGTCAGGTACAAGTCAGAATGTTTCTCAGGAATCCAGCACCTACAACATCCTTATGGCAGATGTGTCAGGCTCCATGAACTCATACTGGAGACCTTTAGTAACAGGCTGGAACGATTATGTGGCTCCGCATTTAGTCGGGAGAACTAATTTGTTTGTGTTTGGCAGTACAGTTAAGCTGAAGAGATCTGAAACAAAGCTACAGTTTGGTGATTTAGATCGCAGTAGTACAGACTTGACTGGTGCCCTACAGACCATTGTAGATGAAGTTTACAAATGCAAGGAGAGGTATATCAAGGTGTTTCTTGTCACTGACGGCCATCATAATGCAACTAAAGTTCAGCCAAACATAGTTATTGACCAAATGAATGCTGCCAGGGGCAAGACATGTGATGTTTTCGTGTTAGGCGCGGGTAGTGACTTTCCTGTGCAGTATAGTATCAACATACGGTCACGTTTGCATAATGGCAGTGCTAATGTGCCTTCACTTTTCTGGGCAAAAATTCCAGATTTCGTTATAGAACAGATGATGGAGATCGGTAGTAAAATTTCTGACGGAACTTCACAGACCCTGCGACTGTCAGTGGAAGGTTTCTCATTGCCTGGAGGGATAGCCAAACACACTTTCCACCTGAACGAGTGGGTATATTTTCCATCTGGACCAGAACAAGTACAACAACTCACACTTAGACATGGTAAAAATGTTTGTCACATCTCACTGAAGCCTCGTCAGATGCAATTGTCTCTTTTGAATGAAGTATTTCGACAGTGGAACTCTGTTATCATTCAGATTCATAATAAGAAAGAGCAAGTTCCCCCAGATGCACTGGCCTTCATGGAGCGAATCTTTAACACAAAAATGGACGAGCTCAAAGATATAAAGTTAGGATCAATCCGTGAGCGGCTTGAACGAAAAGAAATCAGTACATATGAAACAGACTTCAGAACATTGTTTAACAAAATAAGAACAATACTAACAACTGAAAAATTCCACAATGAACTAGAACTGGCTGAAAATATTCTGAGTACAACAGTCGGAGGAGGTAAATATGGAACAAAAGTTCTACAGATGAAAGGCCATACAGATGAAGATTATGCAAAGGACTGTAAAGAGTTTTTGAAAATTTATGAAGAACACAAAGCGAGGATACTGAGCATTGAAAATGGCCCAGAAGATTGTTGTCGAGTCACTACGACGTCCACTGTGTCTGACCTCCAGGATCCAGATTTTCCAATGATGATGGATATTAAAAATAAATTTGAGTTCCTAAAGCAATTCACTATTACTGGCATTCCAGTGTCTGCTCCAAGCAGGGACTCTGTAACCATCAATCCCTGGTCGTTTGGTGTTAGGGCCCTATTAAATGAGCCATACACCATCATGAGTCAGGTTGCTTTAGAATCCATAGCTGACCAGAACTCGGCATTGGGAAAGAGCAAGGATGTGCAGTTGAAGTCTGATGATAGCAGGACGCGCTTTAATGCCATAATCCCAGTCTTCCCACCTGCTGCCTCCAAAATTATGGCACCGTTAATGCGTACAAGACTTTATGCAATGTGTTCAACTTTTGCCATCTTGAAAAATCCACATATAATTGATTTCAATATCCACATGGCAGCCTTGGGGGTGACATGGGTGAGGATTCTGTTCGAGCACCCGACCCAGCCTAGGCCCGAATTTGTGCGTCTTCGTGTTGAGCATATAGAAGCGACAGCAGCAGCTTACCTCAACCGACCAAGCTACACAAAATACTGGCAAGTGCTTATCAGTGACACTGCTCAAGCACTCATGACAGAGAGCACTATAACAGTAGAAAACAAAACAATAAAATGCGAGTCTCTCATTAAGCCAATGTTTATACTTCACTTGCACCAACGGAGCGAGAACCCTCAAGATGCGAGTGTTGTTGTCAACATTATGAGGATGATACTCTTAGAATACATCGGTCGCTGCCTCTCTCACTACAAGACAAATGAGAATAATTCAACACCCTTCACAGATTTCTTTGCTAAAACACTTGCTGACCAAGAACTTAAAAAAAAATGGGTTCAGAAATATATTGCTACCTCCAAAGAAAGCATGGCAGGATCTGAAGGCCTTCTCTTAGAGGATTATTACACACTGGAAAAAGTGCAGAAGGCAGCCAGGAAAACTGCAGTGGAACAAATCAAAATTCTGAAAGAAAAGTTAACAGCACAGATCCCAATAGCAGTGGACATGAAGAAGGTAGAACAGCTGCGCAATGTGTCTCTGACTGGAGATATGTCATGGTTCACATTGCGAACCTTTGCCAGGGAAGTTGGACTAATGGAAGAAGTCATTGACAACTTGTTTAGTGAACAAAGTTTGTTTGTTTACACCGCTCATGCCCTACAGTACAGAGCCTCTCGGGAAAGGCTTACTACTCCAGTGGCTGACTATGAGGCCATTCGAACTTTAGTGACCAAACATGTACAGCAGGAGAATTCACACATTATAGCCAAGGATCTTTCAGATGAAATAGTTCAACAACTGCAGGGTGCTTGGTTACAAGCATATTTGGATGCACACACAGAAGTGGTTCAACCCATGACGAGGCAACAAATCCTAGCAGAGGCTTTAGGACGAGGAGTGGAAGTGACGGATGCCACCTTCGAACAGGTATATAAGAAATACCGTCCTGATGTAGGTCTATTGGGTAATGCCTGTCAATGTCGAGCTTGTCCGTATTTTTTGATACCGAATAAGAGTTATAATCAACACTCGTCAGTAGAGCGTCGTGCTCGTGCAGCTTTCCCTCACGGCCTGCACCTGGCAGCCTACCGCCTCAGGGACAGCGATGTGCCCACAGTTATCGCCCACCTTGAGTCTGGCAAATTCAAAACAACTGTCCCTCGACAAGCTGTTGAACCCTTCGTAGAGGACCTGGAGAATTTACAAAAAATATACCGAGAGGTGGCACTGACTGGCTTTTAACCCTTCTCATAAGTTATCAAGTGCAGAGAAGTCTTTTGAATATGTATACTACTGTACATAGGTTATCTTCTATAGTTTTCCTCATAAATAACTAGATCATGTTTAAGTTATTTTTTGCTAGTCTTATAATTACTCTTCAAGACTGTAAGTATACTTCTTATTGAAACAATATTTACCACCAAAAATAAAACTGAATAAATATTGTACAGTACATAAATTTAAAAATGATATATCCTTCAGCGATGAGATCCTTAATTATTCATGCCACACCTCTAGGCATCGTAGCCCCCCCCCCGTTTCCAAATTACCATCCCTCCCCACCTGAGAGGATGATTAAAGATCAACTACATGCTTCTACTAGAAGTAAAGTATAACACTTTAAGCCAAAGTGATGCGTTACTCACTGAACGATCGTTCCACCAAACCATTTACACTGATGGTTCCTATACCACTCGACTGGTGGTGGTGAAGGTGCGGGTGTTGTGGCAGCCAGCACGGAGCTCCAACTCTTGACTCGGGACTTAGTGTTAATAACGCTGTCATACAGAATTGTTTGCCATACTCCTTGCACTAAAGTGAAAACAGTAAATGTATTCAGATTTGACATGTTAATTATTAGTTACTCCCATATAACTGCTTGCCTAAAGACAGATTTTTTTGGTCTCTTTCTCTTTTCACAAAATTTAAGAGGACTTGATACAGTGAAATTTACATCCAAGTCTTTTCCATCTGTCATCATACTACTATGCAGGCAGAGCCACATATCTATGGGTCATCGAATAAAGTCAGCAGACTTTCTTGAGATTGTTGCTGCTTTGCTTAGGCTCAACTACAAGTACATTTGTAAGTTTGTACACCATGTTGAAGTAGATATAACCAAACGTAAGTTTGTCAGCAAAACTATTCACGTCTTCACTATGTAATTTAATGACAACTAAGAAGAGTTGAAAAAGACAATTATGCCACCAATGTTCAAGAAATATCCATATACAGTATATTTATCAGAGATGACATGTTATACAAAATCCTAGCAAGGCATCCCAAGATCACCTCACCTATTGTAGCTAGTGCGCAGTCTGTTGGCCAGCACTGCATGCGAGTCATGTCTGTTGGCTAGTACTGCATGCGAGTCATGTCTGTTGGCCAGCACTGCATGCGAGTCATGTCTGTTGGCTAGTACTGCATGCGAGTCATACTAATCCCAAGACCGTGTACAGTGTTTAGATCACTACACTTCTGAATTTATAATTTTTTAGGCAATACTACCTGTAACTATATATAGTATAGTTGGCATCCATCAGTCTTAGGAAACTATGGAGTTACACTCTGGTTGTCGGTCTAGAGTGGGCGCAAAGCCAGGGTAGGTTGATACGGGGGAGAAACTGTCACCCATGCAGCAGGTCCACCCCCCCTCTCCACGGCGCCGAAAGTCTCCAAGGAAAAGGCAAACGTCAATACGATTGGTTCCAGCGCCGTCACAGGAACTGTCAGAACGAAGTTGAAGGCAACAACGAACTGCCCCTAGGAGCTCCAGCTCTAGAGTTGACCTCGAAGTTGGGAAAAGAAGGCACAGGGACTCCAAACCCGCAGACCGCCGTGGTCGGGGCCGGAGAAGAACGACTCCAGCAAGGGCAAGAACGACCCCAGCCTCCTGAAGCAGAGCTGGGCCGCACGACCCCCAGGAGGTGGATGTCTGCGTCCCGCACCTACTGGTTCCAGACAGAGATCGCCACAGCCCTCTTTCACCCGAGGCCAGCTTTCTTCATGACCCAGCAGAAAAAGTGTAACAATTGTTAATTACAACAATTATTATTATCATTATTATAATAATATAATTAATAATCATTAATCATCCTTCTGTAACTAGTACACAAATGTAAATTTCTTAGCTTATAGAAATATTGGAGTTGATTTCTTGAAACCATTATAGTACAGTATTAGTATTAAGTGTTTACCCTGATAATCCTATTATTTAACTAATTAATTTAGCACTTTAGCTCACGGGGCGAGCAAGCATCAGACCCCCCAAGGAGCGCTGCGCATTCCGCGGGAGCGCGCGGTTTTTGAATCTTGGTTTTCACTCTTCAACTTTGTCACGTCAATTTTCGTCCTAGGTCTTTCATTTTGATATCAATGTGTTCGCAATAAAATTTCCTACAGGAGTATATGCATATAAAGTCCAAAAGCGCGGCTTACCGCCCGCAGCAAACAGAAAATGACATCTCGTTAGCCATGAGCGCTCAAGAGCAATAAAATGTGTATACTCATTTCAACTTTGTTACCTCAATTCTCGTCCTAGGTCTTTCATTTTGGTATCAATGTGTTTACAATAGAATTCCCTATAGGAGTATATGCATATAAAGCATATAGATTGCGGCGTACCACCCGCAGCAAACAGAGAATGTGACAGCGCCTTAGACGTGAGCGTTCAAGAGCAATAAAATGGGTATACTCTTTTCAACTTTGTTACCTCAATTCTTGTCCCAGGTCTTTCATTTTGATATCAATGTGTTCGCAATTAAATTCTCTACGGGAGTATATGCATATAAAGTCCAAAACCGCGGCGCGCCCTTTCCAAAGCCAAGCCGAAAGCTGACACTATTTTTATTTTTGACGCGATACGGCGTTGATAACGAGTGTTGTTGTTGTCTTAAATTCTTTGCATATTAATGCCTTTATTTAATATAACCTTTATATTTATTTTTAATGTTTTTATTTTATTTTTATTAAGTTAAACATATACACTAAAACTGGGACTAGACTGTTAATGTGTGTTAGCAAACTTTATAGGTAGTTTATTAATGTTGTAATTTGCTTAGCTATATGAATATTTTGGTTCAGTTTCTGAGCCCATTATGCACATCTGTAACCTTTTCCACTACCATTTGAACAACTACTGTAGTATGGAATGGATAATAAATTAATGAACTAAACTACCTTCCATTAAGTAAAACATAAACAAAAATATACATTTTTATTTAAAAAAAAATTCTGAACAAATGTGATGTTATTTTGATGGTATAAGTAACTATCAATAGAGGGCACCAAGCCTGGAAGACTATTTTGTAAAAAGACAAGAAAAAGAGTGATGTTAAAGGTACTGTCTGATTCACAAAGGATTTTACTGAGGGACAAGTGACTCATACGAAACATTGGGAAAGGAAGATTCCAATAATCTTAAAAATCAAAACATTCTTGATGAGAGAGTGTTGGTAAGGTAAGGCAAATCTGACAATAAGGCACAGTCTTTGTTCCATGAAGGGCGTACGAGTTAATCTTGAGGCCCATATATTTAACCTAATGAGAGACATTTCCCACTTTGTTGACCAGACCACACACTAGAAAGTCAAGGGACGACGACGTTTCGGTCCGTCCTGGACCATTCTAAAGTAGATTGTGATAAGAAGAATAAGGGGAAAGTAATGGGAAAAAGAACCTAACGTGACCTAACATAAGATTACCCTTCCATCTATTTTTTTTCTTTTTCTTTCCCTTGTTTTCTATTACAATCCTTTGCTTATTTTTATTACTTCCCCTTTTTCCTATTACTTTCCCCTTCTTATTGGGTGGTTATAAATAGGAGCTTCCTCGTATGGGCAAACAAGCCTTCTGCAGTTACTTTTGTTCTCATGTTCTTTTCCCTATTACTATCCCCCTTTATTTCGCCTTACCTTTCGTACCTTTTCCTTGCTTTTTCTTCTTCTAAGATTTTTTTCTCCTCACCTCTCTCTCGCCTATTTATTGTCTCACCTTCCCTTATCATAACCCAGCCTAGAGAACATAAAAAACATCATCACCAAAAAACTCTCACATCTCAACAAAGCCGACCTGCACCAGAGAATAGCTGAAGGTTCGCCATCTGCAACATGGTATCTTCAGGCAACCAAATTAGAAAGGTTAAATATCCCAAAAGGAATCCACAGGGAAATAGCAGTTAGGTTATATAGACTACGTCTAGGTTACAGATGCAACTGGGAGATTGGTGAACCCCGACAGAGAGAGTGCATCTTCTGCCAAACTGTCACAGAAAAGCCATTACTTAACTATCTTCTAGAATGTGAAGCAACCAATGACCTTAGAAGAGCTTTAAGAGTTCCTGAATCATGCAGTGGCCACCCTGAAGCCATCAACACAGCCACTCTCCTGGTCAACAAAGGTGTTCAGCAGCTGGACACCCTCATAAAGACTGTGAAGCAGTATCCTCCCCCGCGATAACAGCTTGATGGTTAAATGCAAACTCAGAATACTGAGAAAAAAAAATTGTACCACTTACGGGCTATTCATGCCCGTGCCACCTCTTGGGTGGCTTAATCTTCATCAATCAATCAATCCCTTATCACCAGGCTAACCATAGCCCGTGCTTCTTGCCCCGCTCCTGTGCCAGGTAAGTTACGGGCTCACCATAGCCTGTGCTACTTGGAACTTGTTCCGAGTAGCTGAATCTATAACACCACCACAACATTCCCTTATCATCCACAGGGAAATAGCAGTTCGGTTATATAGACTACGTCTAGGTTACAGATGCAGCTGGGAGATTCGTGAACCCCGACAGAGAATGCATCTTCTGCCAAATTGTCACAGAAAAGCCACTAGCTCCTGGAATGTGAAGCAACCAACGATCTTAGAGTTGGTTGCTCGACCGGCTTTAAGTCCCTGAATCTTGCAGTAACCACCCTGAAGCCATCAACACAGCCACTCTTCTGGTCAAAAAAAGATGTCCAGCAGCTGGACACCTACCTTGACCTTGAGGTGCTTCCGGGGCTTAGCGTCCCCGAGGCCCGGTCGTCGACCAGGCCTCCTGGTTGCTGGACTGATCAACCAGGCTGTTGGACGCGGCTGCTCGCAGACTGACGTATGAGTCACAGCCTGGTTGATCAGGTATCCTTTGGAGGGGCTTATCCAGTTCCCTCTTGAACACTGTGAGGGGTCGGCCAGTTATGCCCCTTATGTGTAGTGAAAGCGTGTTGAACAGTCTCGGCCCTCTGATGTTGATAGAGTTCTCTCTCAGAGTACCTGTTGCACCTCTGCTCTTCAACGGGGGTATTCTGCACATCCTGCCATGTCTTCTGGTCTCATGTGATGTTATTTCTGTGTGCAGGTTTGGGACCAGCCCCTCTAATATTTTCCACGTGTAAATTATAATGTATCTCTCCCGCCTGCGCTCAAGGGAGTACAGATTTAGGCTCTTTAGTCGGTCCCAATAGTTTAGATGTTTTACTGAGTGGATTCTAGCAGTAAAGAATCTCTGCACGCTCTCCAGGTCAACAATTTCTCCAGCTTTGAAAGGTGCTGTCATTGTGCAGCAGTACTCCACTCTAGAGAGCACAAGCGTTTTGAAAAGTGTCATCATCGGTATAGCATCTCTAGTGTGAAAAGTTCTTGTTATCCAACCTGTCATTTTTCTTGCAGTTGTGACGGCTACTTTATTGTGTTCTTAAAAGGTAAGGTCTTCCGACATGAGTACACCCAGATCCTTTACATTGCCTTTTCGTTCTATATTATGATTTGCCTGAGTTTTGTACGTGGTTTCCGTTTTTATATTTTCATTTTTTCCATAGCGCATGAGCTGGAACTTATCTTCGTTAAACACCATATTATTTTCTGTAGCCCATAGAAAGACCTGATCTACATCTGACTGGAGGTTTGCCGTGTCCTCTATGTTGCCTACTCTCATGAAGATCCTAGTGTCATCTGCAAAGGATGATACAGTGCCATAGGTTTGTTTTTTATTTGACACCCTCAAATACAGTACTGGCAAGCAGTATCCTCCCCTGCGATAGCAGCCTGATGATTAAATGTGACCTCAGAACACTGAAAAGATTTACTGAACAAAAAATTGTACCACTTACGGGTTATTCATGCCCGTGCCACCTCTAGGGTCTTAATCCTTATCAATCAATCAATCCCTTATCAGTTACAGCCCTGCTCCTGTGCCAGGCAAGTCCACTACAAGCTCATCATATCCCGTGCTACTTAGAACGTTTTGTTCCCAGTAGCTGAATCTATAACAACAATTCCCTTATCACAATCTACTTGAGAATGGTCCAGGACGGACCGAAACATCGTCGTTCCTTTAATTTATTTATTTATATATATAGAAGAAAGTACACTGAGTTTGTGAAGATACATAGCATGGTGTTAACATTCTTGTAAAGCCACTAGTATACACAGAATTTCGGGCAACCTTTCTCTTCACTTTCCAGTATGTGGTCTGGTCAACATATTTCAGCCACGTTATTGTGACTCCTCATCTGCATTTCCCACTTTCCTATTACAGCAATAGGAAGGCCAGTTAATAAAATAAGGCATTTTTTCTGGAAGTTGGGACAGGTACAAACTACTACTTGAGAAGCTGTGTTTGTGAGGTCGTTATAGGCAATACTAATATGACTTTGGAGCCCATCAACTGCAACTGGCTTATAATTGTTTTTTTTTTTAAATAAGGATCATCCAGCATTGGATTTTGATCACCAAAAAATATGAAGGGTTAAGACTCAGGTTCATGAGCTACAACAATAACAAACGAATGTTGGTGCTTGAAAAGTAAATCTTAGAAAATATAAAATTACATAAAGCTCAGCCATGAAGATATTAGTCTGTAGCAAGGCAAACTAACCAATGCCGTCAACTGATTTGGAGCTATCTATAAAAAAAAAGCAGTCATATTTTATAGTCATAGCTAGCAGTCTCCGTGGTGTAGTGGTAAGACACTCGCCTGGCGTTCCGCGAGCGCTATGTCATGGGTTCGTATCCTGGCCGGGGAGGATTTACTGGGCGCAATTTCTTAACTGTAGCCTCTGTTTAACGCAACAGTAAAATGTGTACTTGGTTGTAACAACGATTCTTCGCGGCGGGGATCGTATTCCAGGGACCATAGGATTAAGGACTTGCCCGAAACGCTACGCGTACTAGTGGCTGTACAAGAATGTAACAACTCTTGTATATATCTCAAAAAAAAAAAAAAAAAAAAATAGTCACTGTGAAAGGTCAGCTATTGGCCTCAAAGTCCTGTTTTTACTTAAGGAACACGTATTTGGATGAACATTATAGTACAGTACTGTACGAGGAAACCAGGTGCTTTTATTTTTTCTAGGCACTGGACTTTGATCATTCTCGAAAATTGGACAAAATACCTGCCAGGCGACCGCATTGCTTATTACAGCGACAAGGTTTATCTACACCGAAGAACATTTGCCACTTCTCTCTACAGATTTGAAGTTTAGTGAAGTCATCCTGCAGTTTCCAGTCTGCCCTTACATTTATAATGCATCCCAATTTTTTATCACCAAAATTTTTTTTTATATTGTATAACTCAGTACAGTATCAAGATAATTAATGTACAGTACTGTATTAACCATAGATACATAGCCATTGAGGAATTTATACTGCAGTATTTATATGTGGAAAATGTCTTCCACAGCCACAAGCAAATATATAATATGGGTGTGACATGTATTTACATGCTCTTCAACAAAATTTACAACCCTTAAAGAAATAAAGTTTATTATTTATAGACAGAAAACATGATACAAAAATAAGATTCAGAAACTAAATTATTTGATAAATTATACAAACATGCCAGTACCTGTATTCAAAAACAGCGGCAATAAAAATAATTAGCTGCTTGAGTAAATGATCTTCATAATGCAGCTACTTCAGTTTTCCCAGAGCAAAGGAAATTACAGTTCAGTAAATTATTATAATCAATCAGAATGTTTGCAACTGCATCTATGTATGTACTTTTCCTAAATAAATTATTATTATTATAAATACTTCTATGTAATGTAAATAAATACTGTATTACTGTACTAGACATACAAATCAAAATGAAAATTATATACAGTACATACATTAAATTAATAATTTCTGTTACTACTGTACAGTATATTAATCTTTATAAAGATAATTTTAGATTCAGTGAACACACAACACTAAGTGGATGTATAATAATAATAAATTACATGAAATCTGAATGACCTTTTTTATTTTTCCTAAATAATACTATGTAATCATAGCAAATCGGGAGGGGAACGATAATATGCCAAACCCCTGAGTTAGACAATTATAAAGTTTTCATAAACTACACAAATATGATTATGGATTTAGATCATTTAGGTCTATATTTTCTCCCTTTTAACATAATTACACTAAATACCTGAATCAGAATTGTACTGTACTATATCATAGACATGTAGAAGCATAAAACAAGTAACTAAACATGAATTGTTAACATACATAAATCCTTAAATAAGCCTAATAATTGTATTGGCTTCAACATTTATTGTTTATTTATGTGTATAAATGTTCATTTGGCAGGAAGCCATGAAAATCCTTCATTCTAATGAAGGTAACGGTTCATAAAGCTTTTTCTTCATAACCAACCCATTGCACCTGTCCCAGCTGATGATGCAGGTGCATTTCAATCAGTCCGGGTGTTGATAATCCAAGCTGGCATAGGGCTCGGCATCTCCTGTTGCTCGCCTGCTTCTCGGAGTGCAGTAGTAGAAGAGACTTCGTGGGTGAGGCACTAACATGGAATCAAGAAGTGTAAGCATTAATCAGGGTTTAGGTAGGCTGATGAGGCCAATGGTTGACCAGTGTGAACAAGTGTTTATGGCTAGAAAAGGAGAGGGGAAATTTCAGGGTGAGAAAAACATTGAACTGAATTATTAACCAACTTTAACCATGGGTTCTCTTTTAACCTTTTAATGACAAGACAACTTTACACACATGGACCGAATTAGAATGGTAGATGATTGATTGGTGAGGTCGAGGTTTTTGACCGGTGAGGTCGAGGTTTTTGACCGGTGAGGTCGAGGTTTTTGACCGGTGAGGTCGAGGTTTTTGACCGGTGAGGTCGAGGTTTTTGACCGGTGAGGTCGAGGTTTTTGACCGGTGAGGTCGAGGTTTTTGACCGGTGAGGTCGAGGTTTTTGACCGGTGAGGTCGAGATTTTTGACCGGTGAGGTCGAGATTTTGACCGGTGAGGTCGAGATTTTGACCGGTGAGGTCGAGATTTGACCTGTGAGGTCGAGGGTTGGCTACTGAAAAAGAGAGTTGACTGGTGAGTTTGTAACAGTGTTTAATTTAAATACAGAGGCCTTGAGTAAAGCAAGTTTTTCCAGGGTGGGTAAAAGTTCTGTTAAGAACAAGATACTCATTATGGAGGTAACATGATGCTTAATTTCGAAAGATGATCAGGGCTCAGATGGCGTGGAGCTGGTAGCCTGGAGTCGAGTAACTCGACACCTCTGATAACCAACGACCCTGAGTGAACAAGACACCACAATTAATAACTTTAAATCACAGATATAATTTTAAAAACCATGTTAAGGCCTGTGTGACATGTTCAAAACCACTGTTATATATCTTTGCCTCAACATGTGTAATTTTCATAATGAATACTGATGTACAGAAGTCAAATTACAAGGTTAGTATTGCCCAACAGAGAAATAAACGAGGGGCCTAATTTTATCTGGATTGTGAGTGGAACAGTAGTGCAGAGGATGGTCTAAGTTACAGAATTCAGTAGGAAGCAAAAGTGGGGGAACCCTCAAATATTAACCAGAGTAACTAACAAATATAATGCACTCGGCAGTGATGTGGTGGAAGCAGACTTTATACACAGTTTCAGATGTAGATATGATTGGAGTAGCGAGATGGAGGGTTGGGCAGTATTGTGAATGGAGCATGCCGCATATTTACAATATATGAACTTTATTATTCCATATTTATTTTTTGTGCTTTACAAATTTTTATTAGTTTTTCATTATAGCACCTTCCAAATGTCTTGCAACCCATGCTACTTCAAAATCTGACAAAGTGAAGACATGTAACGTAATGGTGCCACAAACATGACTAATTTCTAGGCAAGAATGACAAGTCTGTTGCGTCCTTTTGCAGACACAACAAGATCAACAAGTCTAGCAGTCCTACCATTAAGAATACACAAAGAACACAAGCATCTGCAAGTGGGTCAAGTAATTTAAATATTCAAAGCACATTCATAAGTGAGAAATTTTGTGATTGAATTGTGAAATTGCTGGCAACCTGGGTGGAAGTGTAAAATCAAAAGACTGTGCTACTTATTTTTAATGTGATCTGTTCTAAGGCCTTAAAGTTACAGTACTGTATATGAAACCCTAGTGGAAGAAGACGGCTCAGTATTACAAGAAGAAACTTTCAAGGTCAGCAAGAGATGTATTTATAGCTTTATGAAGCATTGGAGCAGCCTGCGGGCCGCTCCAAGCAACAGCCTGGTGGACCAAACTCTCACAAGTCAAGTCTGGCCCAGGGCCGGGCTTGGGGAGTAGGAGAACTCCCAGAACCCCATCAACCAGGTACCAACAGCTTCACAATGTTAAGATGACAAGTGAGGCTGTAAGTGCCAACACAGCTGCTAAGTTCCCAAAGAAGCTGAAGGATATGGTTCTGCTTATGGTCTCCCAGAGTCAAGGATGAGGAAACCTGTTAGGTTTCTCAAGGTCCCCCTAGGTCAACTACTGACCTTTCCCAGGATGCAGCCCACAACAGTTGCCTAACTCCCTGGTACCTATTTACTGTTTGGTGAACAGATGTATCAGGTGAAGAGAACATTGCTTAAATACTTCTGTTCTATTGCAGGGAAATTAACCCCGGACCATTAGTTCTGAGCCGACACTGTAGACCATTGGTAGCTACACACCACAGTAAATGTTTAATGCTGGTGAAATATGGTTAACTTGGAATACCATCCTGAAATTGTGACTGAAAATTACAGGGAATATTAATTATTATTACTGGTATTATTATTAGATCTTTTTTTTTTTTTTTTTTTTTTTACAAAATGCTGTATTGGAAAACCCAGAGCTGAATGTAATGAAATGGCTCTTTCTGGAGAAATCCCAGTGGCTCGCTGAAGCTATTTTGCTGAGATTCCTCCATACTAATGGGTCATATCATTCACAAGTTCTGCTTGGCCTACTGGGAACCAGAGCCAGAACCTGGCTCCCTTCACTAAGGCACAGGGACTGAGTGACAATCCACCACCACTGAAAAAAGCCTCCACAAAGTCAGGGAAGCTTAATGGACAATTGAAGGGTTCACAGAAAATGAAGCTTCAAAGCTGCCAAGCAACTTAGCAAATGATTCACACATAACTAGATTCACTCAAACTAGCATGAAACTCATTAGTACTGAATACTGCAACCAGGCAACCTAGCCGTAGTCTTCAACCGGCTCCCCTGGTCAGTTCTGGAGGTGAGCAACCCAATGATGAATAGATGAATATGGAGGGAGGAGGGGAATCACAGAGCAACCAAAGCTCCTCTTATAAAGAGGCATTTTATTACATTTAATGTGGGGGGTTTCTGGACCAACCAACACCAGAGCCCAATCCAACACCAAACAGAGACAAACTATAGGCAGAGTAAAGCTGCTGGGGGCAGAGACAGAGAAACCAATTGAGTCTCAAATGAGGCCCAGCCAAGTGCAAACTTTGGATTAAACCAACTGGGACTTCCTCCAGTTCACCACAAACCTTAACTCAGCGAGTTGGAAAGAACCAGTTTCCTGGGCAGCTGACACACAGATTGGCTGGAAATCCTCACTAACCAGTCATCAAGGTAGGCCATCACACGAACCCCTAAGAGATGAAGCCAGGCTACCATGCTTTGCACTAACTTGGTAAACACACATGAAGCTAGATTCAAGCTGAAGGGAAGAGCCCTGAAGCAGTAAGCCTGATTCCTCACAACAAAACCTTGCCAGTCCCTGAACCCAATAAGTATGGAGATGTGCCAATATGCATCCTTGAGGTCCAGGGACACCATCCAAGCCGCAGTCTGTAATAGCAGACAAACTTGGACCAAAGTGGCCGCGTAGAAGTTCAGACAGCAAATGAAGCTGTTCAACCCCAGAAGATTGAGGATATACTGTATATTTGCCGAGTCCCATTTTGGGACCAGGAACAATCAAGATACTTCCCAAAGGGACATGGCCACTTAGACCACAACCGAGTCCGACCAACCTGCAATGAGTCAATGCAGTGCCAGGGAGGAATCATGATCCATAAGTCCCAACCCCAAGAACAGGAGAAGGGACCAACCAGCTCCACTGCAGAGTACAAGGAACAACTCAAAAAGCACATGAATCATGGGACCAGAAGCTGGCAAAATAAGCCCTCCCCCTCCCCACGGCAGCATCAAAGGGGTGACCCATGATAGGGCCAACATGAACCCTGAGCAGAACCATCTTTCCACGATTTGTAGTTGCAACATCATGCAGAGTAGAAACTGGTGTCAGGAAGCTCAATGGTCTGAGAATCAGTCTCCCCTTGAGGAACTACCCTGACCAACAGCAGGCAAGGTCCCCTACCCAACTGAATTGCTTTTCTTCAGATTAGAACCCCAAGACAACAGCAAATGATCAACTAGGCAGCAAGAAAAATCCATTGCTGACAAAACATGTGTAACATCCTTGGGAAAGAGGAGAGGTAAGAAGGGGGAAAGCAGACAAAACAGTACGAGACCAAACCAAAGCTAACGAATGAGCCAACACTGCTTGTCCAGATGCCTCCCAAATGAATGGGGCATGCATTTTGAGCAAGGCCTGCCAAGGCTAGAACCACAGGCCTTGTAGTGGAACCCAGTGACACTACATCCTCATATAGTTGCTCAGAGAGTCCCTCCACAAGGACTGAAACATAGAATGCTGCCACATGCAAATAAGTTCTTTGATCCTCAGCAATAAGGGCCCTGGACAGTGAAGGCAGCTGTACATGGAGCTTCTGCTTGTCCACATCCTTGGGAAGTGCAGGAGCAAACAAACAGTTCATCTGAAAGAAGGATTCCCCCCCCCCCCACAATTCAGCAAGTGGGTAGGACATGACCTCTGCCAGACCCCCCCCCCCCCCCTAGGAAAAGAGAGGGTTTCAACCAGCCAAGATAAACCCTGACCTTACACTGCAGTCAATAAGCAGAGCAATTAAGCAACCAGTCCTCCTACAAAGAACATTGCTTTTCGATCGTATGTGTTACATAAGGCAAAAATTTTTTATGCAGTACTAGAAAATGGAAGTGATTCGAGAAAGTGACGTACTGTCCTGTTTTCTGTTTTGGGTCCTCTGGTTGGTTAGGAGAGGGCACTTTAAATTGGTCGTTTTCTTTAAGTTGGTAAACCTTAGGAGGATGGGTTGGAGCGAGACCCATATTCAAAAGAGGCCAAGCTCATCTTAGAAAAGAAGTCAAAGTTCTACAGGAGGTACTCAACCAAATATGTGCATTGCCCCCCCCCACCCTCCCACAAGCTTAAAGCAGCAGGGCTGGCCCATGACTGATGGACTGGAACACCATAGGCAGAACCAAACACTGCTTCATCAGCAACAGAACTAACCAACGGAGCAAGATGAGGACTGGGGCCAGGCTGCCTGGTGACAGTATTTGGTACTAACGAGTTTCAAGCTAGTTTGAGTGAATTTCTTCTTTTGTGTAAATCACTTGCAGAGTTGTTTGATAATTTTGAGGTTTCATTTTCTGTAAATCTAGAAGGTTTACAGAAAAGTCAGCAGTCAGCAAGGCTTTTCTGTAAAGCCTTGCCGACTTTCTGGAGGCTCTTTCCGTTAGGATGTTGGAGTGTCATTCTTTCCTTGCGCCTTTATGAGGATGGAGATGGACCAGATTCTGGCTCTGATTCCTGGTAGGCCAAACAGAACTTCCTCAACTGATGTGACTTCTAAGTATGGGCAATCTCAGGAAGATAGCTTCAGGAAGCCACCAGTGGGCTTCCTTCAGAAAGAGGATTTTTTAATGTCTCTGAAACTTAGTCCTATTTTCCTCCAGATTTTTCCATGTGTATATTATTTAATATCTCTCTAGTCTCCTTTCTAGCGAGTACACTCTGAGAGCTCTGAGACGATCCTAATAATTTAGGTGCTTTATCGCGTCTATGTATGCCGTATATGTTGTCTATGTTCCCTCTATTTCAGCACTCTTTCCAGCTCTGAAGGGGAAAGTCCCATCTCTCAAGACAGGACAGTACAAGTGATTTGAATAGTACAATTATTGTAATGGAATCATTCTTCTGACATCAATCTATGTGTGTAGAAATTTTGTTACATACACTTGTTCTTTATTTATTTATTTATTTATTTATTTATGCATATACAAGAATGTACATAAGGAATGTGAGGATACAATTATGGTAATTACAGTCTTGTAAAGCCACTAGCACGCGCAGCGTTTCGGGCAGGTCCTTAATCTAAGAAAATTTTAAGGAGGTAAATACTTGCAAATACTTTATTGTAATATTGCTCAAGGTCACAAGTCCCCCATAATGAAGATTCAAATCGATTATAAAATAAGCGCTCACTACCTCATTATATTTCTTTCATCATCATATACAGAAGTCATAAATTTAAATTTGGTAAGTAATATTCTCATAGAATTGCATGAAAACTAATGAAAAAATAGATTGTACTGTAGAATACCTGTAATTGAAAATCATTAGTTATCTGGAGACATTATGGTAAGCAAGGTAGAATTTAGTACACAAATCAGAGCGTTCATCAAAAATCGAGGACTGGAAAATACTGTACTACAGACAGTAATTTGCAGCACTTCACTTCAAGATGAAGAGCATTATGTACAGAATTACACCCACTATTAAAATAATCTCATTTACAGTACTGTTCAATTATCTATTATCTATTATCTTGCTCAGATAAGTTTAGTTTAATTTCTGTACAGTAAAGCTACTGTATTTACAATATGAATACAGTAATTACATACTGAAGGTACAGAACAAAACACTAAATTATATGAAAAATTTAAAGTCTTAATAATTAATAGTTCCTAATACTGAACACAAGATTGTACTGTATTTGGATACATGGAAATTTACTAAATTTAATATAAATCTGATACTTACAGCATACTGCCACCTACATCAATGAAGGGTTCTGTTGATGCAGATATATTTCTTTATATATATCCTTCAATTCTGCAAGTTTATCTCTGTAGGGCTGAACAGACTGAAGAGGGACAGGAGTGTTGAAAGTGCCAGACTCAAGGTGGGAGATAACTGTTGACAGATCGCTGTCCCTGAGGCGGTAGGCTGCCCGGTGCAGACCATGAGGAAAAGCTGCAGGACCACGACGCTCTACTGATGAGTGTTGATTATAACTCTTATTCGGTATCAAAAAATACGGACAAGCTCGACATTGACAGGCATTACCCAATAGACCTACATCAGGACGGTATTTCTTATATACCTGTTCGAAGGTGGCATCCGTCACATCCACTCCTCGTCCTAAAGCCTCTACTAGGATTTGTTGCCTCGTCATGGGTTGAACCACTTCTATGTGTGCATCCAAATATGCTTGTAACCAAGCACCCTGCATCTGTTGAACTATTTCATTTGAAAGAGCCTTGGCTATAATTCGAGAATTCTCCTGCTGTACATGTTTGGTCACTAAAGTTCGAATGGCCTCATAGTCAGCCACTGGAGTAGTAAGCCTCTCCCGAGAGGCTCTGTACTGTAGGGCATGAGCGGTGTAAACAAACAAACTTTGTTCACTAAACAAATTGTCAATGACTTCTTCCATTAGTCCAACTTCCCTGGCAAAAATTTGCAGTGTGAACCACGACACATCTCCAGCTAAAGACACATTGCGCAGCCGTTCCACTTTCTTCAAGTCCACTGCTATTGGGATCTGTGCCGTTAACTTTTCCTTCAGATTTTTAACTTCTTCTGATGCAATCTTCCTAGCTGCTTTCTGTACTTTTTCCAGTGTGTAATAGTCCTCTAAGAGAAGGCCTTCAGATCCTGCCATGCTTTCTTTGGTGGTAGCAATATATTTCTGAACCCATTCTTTTTTAAGTTCTTGATCAGCAAGTGTTTTGGCAAAGAAATCTGTGAAGGGTGTTGAATTATTCTCATTTGTCTTGTAGTGAGAGAGGCAGCGACCGATGTATTCTAAGAGTATCATCCTCATAATGTTGGCAACAACACTCGCATCTTGAGGGTTCTCGCTCCGTTGGTGCAAGTGAAGTATAAACATTGGCTTAATGAGAGACTCGCATTTTATTGTTTTGTTTTCTACTGTTATAGTGCTCTCTGTCATGAGTGCTTGAGCAGTGTCACTGATAAGCATTTGCCAGTATTTTGTGTAGCTTGGTCGGTTGAGGTACAACGCTGCTGTCGCTTCTATACTTTTAATACGAAGGTGCACAAACTCAGGCCTAGGCTGGGTCGGGTACTCGAACAGAATCCTCACCCATGTCACCCCCAAAGCTGCCATGTGAATGTTAAAGTCAATAATATGTGGATTTTTCAAAATGGCAAAAGTTGTACACATTGAATAAAGCCTTGTATGAACTAATGGGCTCATGACTCTTGCAACGTCTGGTGAAAAGACTGGAACTATAGCATTAAAGTGTGTTTTCAGACTATCCCATTTTAGCTGTACATCTCTGTTAATCTTGTATACAGGGTTGGAATCAGCATACAATTCAATGGCCACTTGGCTCATAATAGTGTATGGTGCATTAACTAGAGCATGAATACCAAACGACCAGGGATTAATAGCTACAGAATCCCTGCTGGGTGCATACACTGGAATGCCAGTAATAGTGAACTGCTTCATGAATTCAAACTTGTTAAGATTGATCATCATAGGGAAGTCTGGGTCCTGGAGGTCAGACACAGTGCATGACAATGTGATTCGGCAACAATCTTCTGGAGTGACTTTGATATCCTGAATTCTGGTCTTTTGTTCCTCATAAATCTTCATAAACTCTTCACAATCTTTTGCATACTCCTCATCTGTATGGCCTTTCATCTGTAGAATTTTTGTTTCATATTTCCCTCCTCCAACTGTAGTACTTAAAATATTTTCTGCAAGCTCTAATTCATTACTAAACTTTGCAGTTGTTAGTATTGCTCTGATCTTATTCAACAATGTTCTAAACTCTAATATGCAAGTGTTGAAATCCTTTCTTGCAAGCCGCTCACGAATAGATCCTGATTTAGAATGGCTGAGGTCCTCTATTAAGGTGTTGAAAAGTCGCTCCATGAAGGGTATGATATCAGATGGTATAACTTCTTTCTTATTATGCATTTGAATAATAACCGAGTTCCACTGACGAAATACCTCATTCAGAACAGATAACTGTATCTGACAAGGCTCTAACAAGATGTGGCAAATGTTGTTGTGATATTCTAGTGCGAGTCTTTGTACATGTTCTGGTCCAAGTGGAAAATATACCCATTCCTTTGGGTGAAAGGTGTACTTAGCTTCCCCTTCAGGTAGTGAAAAGCCTGCCACTGACAATCGCAGGGTCTGAGAAGTCCCATCAGATATTTTACTTCCAATCTCTTCCATCCGTTCCTCCATTTCTGCATACCTTCTGGCCCAAAATAAAGAGGGAATGTTGGCACTTCCATTATGCAAACGTGATCGAATGTTAATACTGTACTGCACAGGAAAAGCGCTGCCTGCACCTAACACAAATACATCACATTTTTTACTCTTGGGAGAACACATTTGTTGAATAACCGTTTCTGGACTTATTGGAGTGACATTATGATGGCCATCAGTGATGAGAAACACCTTGATATATCTTTCCTTGCATTGATAAACTTCATTTACAATGGTTTGCAGAGCACCAGTCAAGTCTGTTCCCCCTCCGCCAAAATCTGTTACTTTTAATATTGTGCCCGACCTCTTCAGTGCAACGCTGTCACCAAACACAAAGAGACTAGTTCGTCCAATTAAACAAGGCGCTACATATTGATTCCAGCCTAACATTAGAGGTCTCCAATAGCCACTCATTGACCCTGACACATCTATCATGAGAATGTTATATGAGCTGGAGGAAAGGTAAGCATTTTGGCTTTTATCTAATAATCTGTTTGGTAAACAAGATGGCATCTGCAGCAGCGAGTGGATCTTTTCTTCGCCATTACTGGTATTCTGAAAATGGAACTTTTGTAAATATGGAAGTAATTTATACAGAGTAATTTATTAATGCTGTACAAATTTGAAGATTTAAGGTTAAACATTTAAGGTCACTCTGCATCTAGACTGATAAACCGACCCTGCAAAACAAAAAATAAATAATTACTCTGCCTCTAATGAATACAATTGTCTGTATTTTATCAGGTATATTCTTATCTGCTTTATTGGCAAAAACATTAATATTAAGACTGGACCATCTGTGATGACTTGCCAGAGAGACTGTAATACCTGAATTTACCTTGGTCTTGAAGATACATGGTGACTTTCATAAACAAAGGGTGTGGGGTCTAGTCCGGAAAGAGTATACTGTACACATCATAAGAAATGACCTTGGTGTTACTAAAGAACTTGGAATTGTACAGAAACAAAACTGGAATTCTAATTTTGGTACCGAGCCTTATTACCTTGTAAAAAAAAAAATCAAGAGTGGATTGTAATGTAACCCCCCCCCCTCAGAGGGCAGTAAAGGTAGCACATGTCATGCATACACAGATGCACATCAAGCTGACCATTGAGGTCTCTTAATCTGTCCGAGTCCTAAATGAGGCCTCTCAGTTCTAGTACTAGTTTTGTTGCAAGGCTCTGTATTTCTCAAGTTTCCTTGTGTGTTGCATGAGGTGCAGGTTCCATTTAATAGTGGTGCCTGTTGGCAATGGTGGTGATAGTGGTGGCTGTTGGTAATGGAGATAATGACTCAACATCGATGGTGGTAGTGGTAGCTTTCAACATTGGTGGTGGTAATTCACAGGTGCTGCGATGAGGATTCAAATCTATGCGCTGGGTATACCCAGCAGCACACTCTAGGCCACTAGGCCTCAACATGGCCAAAAGAATTGCAACCTGGTGTTCTGCTGAACCCACGAGGATTCCAGGAGGCTTACACTGAAGCCAAACCAGGATTTCACACACGAGTCTCCCATGCACTCTGGCTATGTCATGAAGTAATTCCACCTATGACGTCCCTCTTTTAATATACAGAGGGATTGTGTATCTGTGTATTGATTTATCGCATAAGTTCGAATCCTTATTATGGCTCCTGTGAATTTTCTCATTGATATATCACATTACTGTGGTTTCTCTGTGTATTGGTGGTGTTAATAGCGACTGTTGGTAATGGTGTTTATAGTGGTGAATTTTGGCAATGGTGCAATTAGTTGTAACAAATGGTAATGGTGTTGGTGGTGGTAGTAGCCACTGTTGGTAATGGTTGCGGTGACTTGGTAATAGTGGCGAGTGTTGGTATGGTTGGTATTACCCGACTGTTGGTAATGGTGACAGTGATCTGTTTATAATATATAGTGGTGGTTTGTGTGACTGTTGGTAATGGCGATGCTAGTGGTGATTGCTGGTAATGGTGATGATAGTGGTGGCTGCTGGTAATGGTGATGATTGTGGTGGCTGCTGGTAATGGTGATGATAGTGGTGGCTGCTGGTAATGGTGATGATAGTGGTGGCTGCTGGTAATGGTGATGATATTGGTGGCTGCTGGTAATGGTGATGATAGTGGTGGTTGCTGGTAATGGTGATGATAGTGGTGGCTGCTGGTAATGGTGATGATAGTGGTGGCTGCTGGTAATGGTGATGATATTGTGGTGACTGCTGGTAATGGTGATGGTATTGTGGTGACTGCTGGCAATGGTGATGGTATTGTGGTGACTGCTGGCAATGGTGATGGTATTGTGGTGACTGCTGGCAATGGTGATGGTATTGTGGTGACTGTTGGCAATGGTGGTGGTATAGTGGTGACTGTTGGCAATGGTTATTGTAGTGGTGGCTGCTGAAAATGGCGATATTTACCTGAGGGCCACTAACACTAGTGGTCACGATGAGGACAGGAAGGTCCCCCACCCCTATTTGCCTTGATCTTTTACAGTTGTACTTTAAAATTTAAAGCACTTAGTAATGACAGTCGTGATGGTGGTAGTGGCGGTAGTAGTAGTGGTGGTGGTAGTGGTAAATAAGGGGTAGGAAGAAGTGTGATAGGCCAAATGCCTCGGAATCCATGAACACGTACTCTGGGCACAGACAATTTGTTTTATTAACAATAAGTGAAAATAATTGAGTTTAAAGCATCCATTCGCGAGCAGCCCGTCCCTTCGAACAGTCCATAGTGGTGGTGGTAGTAGTGACAAATTCCCTAAGGCCAGAAATTAATGCACTAAAAATCATGGCAGCTCGCAAAAATTACGTTGTCCCGTTTTATGTTCGTGGGTCCTTAGTTCGGTTACCTTCGGACATTTTAGTACATCAGTTTAGTGACGTCGTGAACGCTCGAGAGGTCGGGCTGTCGTGAGAAAGGACTTAATTATATGGATTAGGCTGACTGACCTCCTTGACAACATAGAGCTTAGCATCGGTGTCCAGTTCTCCGTGGTCTACCAAACCCTGCGGCTCCTCGTCCTCTCTTATGTCTTCAGGCTCAACCATCAGAGGCGGCCTCCAGGCAGCTTGAGCTTCACAGTTATTCTTCTGCTTCTTCATCTGCTGGGATTGTGACGGCGAGCATCCCAAGTCAACACTCGACCGCAGATTCCTAACTCCGTGACCAAGACTATTCTGCCCTTCTGGTAACCCCGAAGGCATCATATTAAGCCTGTTTCTGGAAAGATTTGAATTTGTAAAACACCTGGAAGATATTTGTCATGTTTAAAACAAATAAATGTATGTATGTCCAAGATAACATCCCAGTTTATCAAAGGCACCTTCTGAACACACAAAATTCTGATGTTATTGTTAGCCTACTACTGTACGAGACATTTTTTTTTATTAGCAAGCTTAGGCACAGTATACACAGCAATGTCTTGCAACCATATTCTATATATGTACATGTGTATCTAATATTAACAATTGTGTAACTAGCTTCATAAGATTGTCCTTTGCTATCTAAACGAACTATGGAGTTCACTTCCTAAACCGATTATGTGCCTCTGTAATCCTTTCCACCACCACCCATGGGATGGGTATGGGGTGCATAATAAAATAAAATGAAATTAAATTTTATGAAGGATTACATAAGAGGTTAGACACGTTTTCTTTCATCTAATGCCTCTGTTCACATAGCAGGGGAAAAGGATCTCTGATTAACCAGGCTGTTACTCATACGTCGGGCTGCGAGCAGCCGCGTCCAACAGCCTGATTGACCAGTCCAGCAACGAGGAGGCATGGTCGAGGACCGGGCCGCGGGGACTCTTAAGCCTCGAAATCATCTCCAGGTAACCTCAAGGTAGCAGTAAGGAAAGTACAATACGCGGAAGTTAGTAACCTGTTGTGGGGATTGCATCCTGGGAAGGGTCAGTAGTTCAAGCTCTAAGGGAGACCTCGATACCAGCTTACGTATATACTGTACATGCACAGGCTGCATGTTCCACGACAAAACTTATTAAAACAAAAAACAATTTTCCCATCCCAAATCCTTATCCTGACCCCTTCCAAGTGCTATATAGTCGGAATGGCTTTGGCGCTTTCCCCTGATTTATTTCATTCTTAGGATGGTTAGTTATACATGGAATCAAGAGAAAACACTAAATGCGTCCAATCTATTAGCCCACAAAGCTCAAAATATATAATTTGGTCTGGAATCATTGATTACAGGGCAATCACAGATATAGTATGTGTCCTAGCCTCTCTTCACATACATCCGTTGATGTCTAAGAACGTTTGTGCCCTCAATAATCTTTTTTTGAACTACTGCTCACAGGATGGGTATGCCATGCACAATCAACTAGCTGCCTCCGGCGTCAACAATTAGATTGGAATGTCTAGATCTAACTCAATCTCAGGTTTATCACGTGCAGCTTTAGCTGTCTTGGTCGTATCATGGTGAACAACTCCTATGCAAGATAGTACTCATACAAATGAGAAACTCTTGCTATATGTATTATGTTCTTTATAATGGAAGTTACAAGATTCTTGGTATCTATTTTGCGTGTTGGGTTTTCAAGACTCGAAGAGGTGACCTAGAACCACAGAAAATTACTACTCCAGTATTTTTCAGTGTATTAATGGCAAGTTATAATGCAGCTAATTTTGCATGTATGGAGCTAAGTCAGTCGTTCAGTCTCACGTGTGATCTGTGTACATCTGTTGTCCTGTACAACAATAGGTTGCTGGAGTGCAACATGTGCTCCTCCACTGTTCGCTGGAGGAAGGAGGACGACTCTGCCCTCTCGACTTGAGAGTACTTAAGGGCCGCACATGAGCCTGTTTTCCCAGCGACCAAAGATCATATTCACTCCAAACATCTATCACTATACTCATGTCCGTGCCACCTCTGGGTGGCTTAATCTTCATCAATCAATCAGCCGGTTTCCCTTACTCCTGCATCTTCCTCCAGGCCACATACAATCGACTTGAGAATGGTCCAGGACGGACCGAAACGTCGTCGTCCCTTCACCTAGTGTGTGGTCTGGTCAACCACATCAGCATGTGTACCAGCAAAACGTTTTAAGGCTTCCCTTTGCGTCCCATGACGACTTTTCTAGTTTCAGTAATCTGTTTCCTCTCTTGCAGCCGTGGAGGGACGCGGAGACCAATGGCGGCGGCAACCCAGGTCACCCCTTCACCTTCCACGCAGCGACAGCCCACGCAACAACTCCAGCTTTGACGCCTAAGAGGTACTGCTTGATGGGTTTCTGCGAGTTCTACTCCCCAAGCCCGGCCCGAGGACAGGCTTGACTTGTGGGAGCTTGGTCTAACAGGCTGTAGCTTGGAGCGGCCCGCAGGCCCACATATCCACCACAGCCCAGTTGGTCCGGCACTTCTTGAAGAAAACTATCTAGTTTCCTCTTGAAGATGTCCACGGTTGTTCCGGTAATATTTCTTATACTCGCTGGGAGGGTGTTGAACAACCGCGGACCTCGTTTATACAGTTCCCTGATTGTACCTATGGCACTCCTGCTCTTCACTGGTTCTATTTTGCATTTTCTTTCATATCGTTTACTTGTGTAAAGGAGGAAATGTATATGTTTATCTCTCAGAATGTTCGGTAATATGTTTATTGTTTGTGATGTGTGTCTATATATATATTAACACGATGTACTGAACGGGGTGAGAATAGCTTGAGCTACCTCATCCCTTTGTGTTTATTTTACCTCAATAAACTTATTTCAAAACTTTGAAATTTCAATTTCAATTGCATATCGTTCACTCCAGTATGTTGTTATTTTACTGTGGAGATTTGGGACCTGGCCCTCCAGTATTTTCCACGTGTGTATTGTTTGACATCTCTCTGGTCTTCTTTCTAGTGAGTACATTTGGAGAGCTTTGAGACGATCCAATAATTTAGGTGCTTTATCGCGTCTAAGTATGCAGTGTGTGTTCTCTGTACTCCCTCTTATTTCTGCAATCTCTCCTGCTTTGAAGAGGGAAGCGAGTACTGAGCAATACTCAAGACGGGACAACACAAGTGATTTGAATAGTACAACCATTGTGATGGGATCTATGGATTTGAAAGTTCTCGTAATCCATCCTATCATTTTTCTGGCTGACGCAATATTTGCTTGGTTATGCTCCCTAAACGTTAGGTCGTCAGACATCCTTATTCCCAAATCCTTTACATGCTGCTTTCCTACTATGGACAGATTTTATTGTGTTTTGTACCCTGTATTATGTTTAAGGTTCTAATTTTTACCATAATTGAGAACCTGGAATTTATCACTGTTAAACATCATGTTATTTTCTGCTGCCAAGTCGAAAACATTATTAATATCTGCTTGCAGTTTTTCAATGTCATCAACAGAAGTAATTTTCATGCTGATTTTTGTCATCTGCAAAGGATGATACGAAACTGACTTGTATTTTTGTCTATATCTGGTATGAGAATAAGGAAAAGCAGTGGTACAAGGACTGTACCTTGAGGTACAGAGCTTTTAACTGTGCTTGGACTATTTTATATGGCTGACTGTTACTCTGTGTTCTGTTTGACAGAAAATTGAGTATCCATCTGTCCGACAGACTTTACCAGTTATTCCTATTGACCTCATTTTGTGTGCAATCACTACATGGTTACATTTATCGAATGCCTTTGCGAAGTGTGTATACCACATCTGCATTCTGTTTTCCTTTTAATGCCTCAGTGATTTTGTCGTAGTGGTCACGTAGCTGTGAGAAGCATGATCTTCCTGCTCTAAATACATGTTGGCCTGGATTGTGATAGTCATTGGTCTCCATGAATCTGATGACTTGACTCCTGAACGGAAAGAACAGTGGTCCATAGGGACAGGGAAAGAACAGTGGTCCATAGGGACAGGGAAAGAACAGTGGTCCATATGGACAAGGAAAGAACAGTGGTCCATATGGACAAGGAAAGAACAGTGGTCCATATGGACAAGGAAAGAACAGTGGTCCATAGGGACAGGGAAAGAACAGTGGTCCATAGGGACAGGGAAAGAACAGTGGTCCATAGGGACAGGGAAAGAACAGTGGTCCATAGGGACAGGGAAAGAACAGTGGTCCATAGGGACAGGGAAAGAACAGTGGTCCATAGGGACAGGGAAAGAACAGTGGTCCATAGGGACAGGGAAAGAACAGTGGTCCATAGGGACAGGGAAAGAACAGTGGTCCATAGGGACAGGGAAAGAACAGTGGTCCATAGGGACAGGGAAAGAACAGTGGTCCATAGGGACAGGGAAAGAACAGTGGTCCGTAGGGACATTGTGCCCAAATGAGCCACAGAGATATTAGAAAGAACCTTTGTAGTGTTTGAGTGGGTGACAAATTGAATGATTTAGACAGTGATGTGGTGGAGGTTGACTCCATACACAGTTTCAAGTGTAGATATGATAAGAGCCCAATAGGCTCAGGAACCTGTACACCTGTTGATTGACGGTCAAGAGGCGGAACCAGAGAGCCCGAGCTCAACCCCCGCAAGCACAAATAGGTGCGTACAGGGAGAGAGAACACTAGGAAAGGGGGCAGGGGTCAGAGGGTATATTATCAGTGGGAACGGAGGCAAGAGGGTACAAGGGGTAGGGGGGGTACAAGGGGTAGGGGGGGTACAAGGGGTAGGGGGGTACAAGGGGTAGGGGGTACTAGGGGTAGGGGGGTACAAGGGGTAGGGGGGTACAAGGGGTAGGGGGTACTAGGGGTAGGGGGGTACAAGGGGTAGGGGGTACTAGGGGTAGGGGGTACAAGGGGACGGAGGGGTACTAGGGGTAGGGGGATCAGGGGGTAGAGGGAGCGTGGCGTATACGCCAACGCTGTTACGCATCAGCATAACTAAGCTATTGTTGACTTTCAGCAGCACACCTTCCTTACTCACAGATATCTTGCAGCTGTCAATAACAGACATTCTCAGTCACACGAACCTTGTAATACACTCGGCAAAACATCCTCGAGCAAAGTTAGCATCGCAAAAGGATATTGACGCACTTTCGAATGAAGTTAGGATACACAAGATCAATATCCCAAGATAAATTGTTATTTACCCGTTTCAGTGTCGCTAACATTATCTTGTTTTTTTTTTAACTTTCTGTGGCATCCTTCATTGGGCAAGAGAAGGGGAAAACAAAACAAAAACAAAAGGTAACTGGAGAGGAGGTAACTAACAGTCGTGCTGACCACAGTTCCCAGAGACTGGCGCGGGAAGGCGACTGACGAACCAAGGTTGGTCGGCAACGTTTGCCTCCTTGCCAGCTGCCTCCACTCTTCACTATTTACAACACTCGCTCCTGGTAAATCATCGCTGTATTTATTATTCTAGGATGCCACTTTTAAATTAGGGATCGCACATTGAACGAAATAATTTTTTTGATTAAGTTTGCTTTCTGTTGTTAAGGATTTGTTATATATGTGGCTTATTTTTGGCAGTTTCTTCATCCACCAATGAAAATGCAGCTAAACGTACTGTTTTCATTGACGCGCTCTTCAAATATAAACGTGATTCAAATTTGTCCTAAGAAAAACCTTTAAGCGATTTACAGAGATATTTATTAGTTAAAATAATATACTTAGATATTTATTAATTTATTATACATCCCATTGAGGCCCATAATAGGTTTAGGAACTAAACCCAAAAATTCGTTTACCTGAATGTACCTGAGGGCCACTACGTGAATGTACCTGAGGGCCACTACGTGAATGTACCTGAGGGCCACTACGTGAATGTACCTGAGGGCCACTACGTGAATGTACCTGAGGGCCACTACGTGAATGTACCTGAGGGCCACTACGTGAATGTACCCGAGGGCCACTACGTGAATGTACCTGAGGGCCACTACGTGAATGTACCTGAGGGCCACTACGTGAATGTACCTGAGGGCCACTACGTGAATGTACCCGAGGGCCACTACGTGAATGTACCCGAGGGCCACTACGTGAATTTACCTGAGGGCCACTAACACTACTGGCCTCGACGAGGACAGGGTGCCGGCGGTTTGTCAAAGGATGGTCCTTTGACAAAACCGCCGGTCCTCCCATTTGCCCTGATGATTTTTTCCAGCTGGATTTTAAAATTTAACAGGCTTCGGCTTAAAATTTACGGCTGCGGCGGTTGGGCGGTTCCACGGGTATACACCCCTGTGGGTGAAAAAGCATCTATAAATAAATAAATGTTTATTCAGATAAGGTACATACATACAAAAGGTTTTACAAATTTGATAGATTTATAGATAGAACATACAATGCCTAAAGTCACTATTACGCAAAGCGTTTCGGGCAGGAAAAACATTAAAGACTAAAACTTAATACTAATTGAGATTAAAGTATACAATGTGTTGAGAACAATTAAAAATAAAAATAAAAAAAGGGGGGGAACATGGCAGAAAAAGCAGCATAAATTCAATTAGGTCGACAAACAGCGTTTTTTTTTTTAAACAGACATGGATTGACACTATAGGGGTAAGGTAGGTTACAGGGAATTTATTAGGTAGTGCTTAGTTTTTATCTTAAACTGGTTGAGAGAGGTACAGTCTTTAACATAATTGGGAAGGTCATTCCACATTCTGGGTACCTTGATTTGTAGAGCATTTCTAGTTTGATTAAGTCGTACTCTTGGAATATCAAAACTGTATTTGTTTCTGGTGTGGTGCTCATGGGTTCTGTTACAGAACCTCTTGTTTTCAGTCCTACATCGTGGTTTAAGCTTGAAACTGTTGCTCCTTGTTTGTTACATCTGACTTTGTGGAGAAATTGTCCGTATCAACATCCTTCAGTGTTTAGTATTTTAAAGGTTTCCATGAGAGCTGTCATGCCTAGTTTGCAGTGTTGTTAGCCCTGTGGCCCTTAACCGGTACGAGTTGACTTAATTTTGGAATAATATTTGATGCCCGGTGTTATACTTTCTCCAAAGCAGCTATGTCCGTCAGAAGATGAGGTCTCCGTGCTTTGATACAGTAAAGGGAAAGTAATGAAAAATGCAGCCAAACTGTAGGGAGCGCCACTACAATTCGCAAAACGCCACTCGCCTGGCGTTTCGCGAACGCTTTGTCCTAGGTTCGTATCCTGGCCGGGGAGGATTTACTGGGCGTCAATCTTTAACTGTAGCCTCTGTTCACCCAACAGTAAAATAGGTACCTGGTTGTTAAACAATTTGGCGGGTCCTATTCCGGGGAACATACGATTAAAGACTTGCCCGAAACGCTATGCGTGCAAGATTGGCTGTACAAGATTGTAAAAACTATTGTATATATATATATATATATATATATATATATATGTATATATATATATATATATATATATATATATATATATATATATATATATATATATATATATATATATATATATATATATATATATATATATATATATATATATATATATATATATATATATATATATATATATATATATATATATATATATATATATATATATATATAAATAAATAAATAAATAATGCAAGTATGGGGCGCACCAGAGCATACACTTGAATCAACACCTTCTCTTCCTTAAAGTCAAAGGTAGGCTTGATTATTCCTAAGGTTTTGGTTAGCTTTTGTTACCTGTTATGCAACTTTCAGTGAAAGGTGGATCTTGACTTCAAAGCCCTTTTCTTCATCAATCTGCTGTAAGGTAATGTTATTAGCAACAGTAAAGTAATAATCTCTAATGGCCCTGACGTGGAGATGAAGGCAGCGGCTAGTCAAAGGTTCCCCTATTTGTCCTGATTGATGATTTCATCGAGCTTGATTTTGAAATTCAGCTGTAACGGATGTTGATTTGTGAAAAAAATACCGCAAAGCTGAATATCAAATAAATGGATTTACACAATTGCATACAGATGAATTAGACGCCATTTACGACAACGTTTTGCCAGTTACGACAACGGCGGATAGGCGGTTCCATGGGTTAATAACACTGTGGGTGAAAAAGCCTCTCCTGTTTTTTGTCCTACATTGTGGCTTGTTGAGCTTGAAACCATTGTTCCTTCTTCCTGGTATACCACCACTAGTATCTGGACCACCGCTATTATCTGGTTACTGGACCAGATACTAGTACCTAGTATCTACCACCCCCAGGATGAGTATGGGGTACACAGTAAACTATACCACCCCCAGGATGAGTATGGGGTACACAGTAAACTATACCACCCCCAGGATGAGTATGGGGTACACAGTAAACTATACCACTCCCAGGATGAGTATGGGGTACACAGTAACCTACCACCCCTAGCATGAATAACTGAAATCATTCATCCTATATAACTGTGTAACGTGCTTGTCCATCACTCGTTACTCAGGTTAAGCACCGTTGGGTCTGGCTAGTAACTGGATGGATGGCTCAGTGGACAGCCTCCCAAATAAATAAAAAAAAAATCCCCGATATATGGTGCACTTGTGTGACCAGGGTTTAATAATTGAGTCTCTTTAGTAGATCACTTTTTTGACGTTGTGACAAATCTGCCCGAAACGCTACGCGTACTAGTGGCTTTACAAGATTGTAATTACCATATTATGTATCCTCACAATCCCAATGTACCTTCTTGTATATATATATAAATAAAATAAATATATAAATAAACGAGTGGGCCGTATGTGAAGGCGATGGGTCAGTTTGTTGATGTATTTTCTAATAATGTATTAAAAAATTGCTTACTGTACAAACATATTACATCAGTGTGCTAATCTGGTTTACTCGAAACGATAAGAAAAACAGGGGTTGTGCTCTGAGAATGACACACAAAGACTGCTCAGACTGTGACCACGTGAGAGCGACGACTCTCATGGAGATTAGTGATGGAAATCTGTTAGGCCTATACAGCCAGCCTAGCCGTAGAGGCCTAATTGTGTGTTATTGGAGAAGGTACGCACTCTGCTGGGTATAACACCGACCTATAGCATCACAGCTCGGAACTAGATCAACTACACGTTTCATGTAAGCGTAAAGTCCATGGTAAAACTGTATGAACACTGAGAGCACCTACCACCACCTCCTCCGACGGTAACTGTGTGAACACTCAGAGCACCTACCACCACCTCCTCCGACGGTCACTGTGTGAACACTGAGAGCACCTACCACCACCTCCTCCTCCGACGGCCACTGTATGAACACTGAGAGCACCTACCACCACCTCCTCCGACGGTCACTGTGTGAACACTGAGAGCACCTACCACCACCTCCTCCGACGGTCACTGTGTGAACACTGAGAGCACCTACCACCACCTCCTCCGACGGTCACTGTGTGAACACTGAGAGCACCTACCTCCACCTCCTCCTCCGATGGCCACTGTTCATAGAGCACCTACCACCACCTCCTCCGACGGTCACCATGTGAACACTGAGAGCACCTACCTCCACCACCTCCTCCGATGGCCACTGTATGAACACTGAGAGCACCTACCACCACCTCCTCCGACGGTCACTGTGTGAACACTGAGAGCACCTACCACCACCTCCTCCGACGGCCATTGTATGAACACCGAGAGCACCTACCACCACCTCCTCCGACGGTCACCATGTGAACACTGAGAGCACCTACCTCCACCACCTCCTCCGACGGCCACTGTGAAGGAACTGCACAGTAAACGGACATGAACGGACCCCGCTGCGGGAGGGAACGTATATAGGCCGACTAACGTATTTTCTATTTTCGAACACGCAAGCTAAGCCTTATTTCATATTTGTTACGTGAAGGGTACGCGAATCGGACGTTACTTGATCGAAAATAGGTCACATTATTGTGTAGCGAGGACGGGAGAGTCAGCTGATGCTGTGTATTGAACGTTAGGCACACGTTTCCAACGTTTCAAAACGTTTAGTCTTTCTCTTCTTCCGGCCTATTGATTTTCACTATATTTGTACATTTAGCCGTATATAATGCTACTTTACCGATCAATATGGCCACATTTTAAAACCAAACGTTCCCATGCTGTAGACCTACTTTACACGGTGCCGTGGCTCTCAATATGAACGTAGCTGGGCCTGTTAAACAGATATGAATGAATTCATTGGAAACGTGTTATTGTTCCGTGATGAGCTACTGCCACAGGCTACACATGTTGTGATATATGTAGCATATTATTAATAGTGGTTGTGATGTACTGCTGCTACGTCTGTAATATGGACTCTGTTTATTGAGATGATGCACTTGTGTTTTGGTATATACTGTTTTGTGTATATATTTTGTATATATATATATATTATCAAATATATATATGGATCCTTATACTGACAGATGGCGGTTTGTGGCAGGGTTATGAACGCACATAATTGGTTCAGGAACTAGTGAGAAAAACGACTGTAAAATCACGACCAGTGACTATAGGATCGAGGGAGTATAATATGACTAAAGACAGTATTTATGCAGGTCCTACCCCTAATACAGTAATATCGGAGAACTAATTAACATGCAAAAAACTTCTATGTTCTTATGTAATATGGTAAAGAAAAACAAAAGCAGTTGAAGAAGGTGCGACTGCTTTCCTGTTTGAAGTCATCTGGTTCGATACGTGTGTATGTGCGCGCGCACCTTAGTGCACCTGTCTGCTGCAGGGGCGCGTATTATAATGACAATCTTCACGACTTTCTATGTGATTTTTAATATTTTCTATTAATTTTGCGTGAGGGAGAGGCATTATATATATTGCCCTCAGGCTGTGTACGTATAGCCCTCTAAGTTATAATGTCTGTGAATACATATCCCTCCCTTGTGAAAAATGACGTTGTTTTAATGAATCAACGTTGAAAACGTTGATTCAACGTTTATTATGTGTTACTCGGGCATGTTTTTTGTCTGCTGGGATACATATATTTTCTAATTGGCGATGCTCACAGTTCTATATATTATGTATTCGGAGGCCAATACAGGATATATATTCATTTGAAACAAGATTGACTCATGATCATATTTTAATTTCTTTTCAGCACAGTTCATTAATAAATCTTTAATTGCAGTACTTACGGTAAAGTGATGTATCAATCGACAGTTAGCCGCACATGCTAATTTAACCGCTAATTGTTTTCCAGCACACCACCATGAATACAATCTGGGGTTATAAATGGTTTATAAGAATAATGCATAATACATCGTGCACCCTAACTTCACTCATACGTATGTATAATAAATTCCCGCTTCTTGCACCCTTAACTCACCAACCCGTCCTCTTGAATAGTACATTGTATTATGACGTATAAATCCCCTTAGGCCAAAAACAAATGGAATAAAAAGCCTAGCGGCTGGCAAAATGTCCCGTTTATCATTGGTGAGTCCTTGGTTGGGTTAGGTTCAGACAATTTAGTACATCATTTTAGTGAGATTGTGATTAACGCTGGAGAGGACGGGCTGAACTGTCAGGCCCTTATATCCTCCTCACTTCCTCATGCATTCCTCACTCATTTTGCTACCTTGCAGTTTACATTAACCGTCCCAGGCCTTAGGCTGCTGCTGCAGTCCCTTCTTACTTGCCCTTGGGATTTGTCCACATCACTTAAGCATGCACCGCACCTCTCTTATGTGTCCACTTATGTGAACTCTGTCTTCATCTTCATTTACGCTTCTATTTTATATTCTGCATTATTTCACTTTATAGTTTTACCTTAAAATGCCGCCGAGGCTGCATAATAATAAGAAAGTAATTATCAAAAGAAGGTACCAAGCCCTACGTGGCACCACCATGCATAATAATGAACTAAACTAAAAACCTGCTGCACTGAGGACCAACAGGTTCATGACAGTGAATACCAGCATTATCCTCACTTTAATAAGACTTAATTTAAATCCTCAGATTAGGCAAAATCGTAATTAATTTTGTCAACAAAGATGTTAATAATAACAATAATAATAATAATAATAATACTAACCTCACTAAAGCAAATTACTGATAAATTAGTTACTGGGCGGGAAAACACATAAGCCTGCAGCCTATTTCTTCAACTTATAGTTTTAGTTAATTTATATTAGTTGGTTTATTATGACTCCTACGTTAATTTTAACCCCTCAGCTCCCACTGCTTTCTCCCACGTAACATTAAACTTTTTTTTGTCCCTTAAGTAACATTGTTTGCTATCTCAGGTAACACTGACCATTGTTTGTCCTCTCAGGTAAAATTGACCATTGTTTGTTCCCTCAGATAACATTGACCATTGTTTGTTCCCTCAGGTAACGAACATTTTGAACTGCAGACCGTTGAGTTGAAGACGGTGAGTGTGTATGAGTGAGTTGGGAGGTAATTATGCGACCACACGCTGGCCACTAGGCTCTCTAAGACGGCCCCCGCCATTGCTCTCAATGAGGAAGCGGAGTGATAAGATGACTCGAACCAGAGATCAAGGTACTCCCAGCTGTTCATCTTACCCTTGTACCACGACATGGTATAAGTTATACAACCTATGATCCTACTGAACCCATAGGAAATATGGAGGCCTCTAATGAAGCCAGTAGAGGCCAAGTTTACATATAACCTCCATGCGCTCAGGTGCACTCTACCACTTGGGCTGGACGGTAGAGCAACGGTCTCGCTTCATGCAGGTCGGCGTTCAATCCCCGACCGTTCAAGTGGTTGGGCACCATTCCTTACCCCCCATCCCATCCCATGTCCTTATCCTGACCCCTTTCCAGTGCTATATAGTCGTAATGGCTTGGCGCTTTCCCCTGACTATTCCCTCAGGTGCATTCTACACCTGAGTGTTTTGACAAACTACAATAATCTGGAAGTAATGCAAAATGAAACCACGAGGGAAAATTCTTAATACACTTAGGTAAAAATGCAACTGCATAAAATTTTACACATTTTAAATATGAAAAGTCATTTAATATCAACCCAGCAGTTAATTCAGACTGAGATATGTGGCTATATAGACATCAGTCGTGGCATGGTAGAAGTAATGGCTTCCCAAGACCACGATGCGATATTACAGCTTCGTTGTTGATTTTTTCTCAAACTCCATTTAACTGCGGGAGAGCCAGTCATGTAAGTAGCCAGGAGGGAGGCCAGGCAGGTCCATCCACACACTTAAGAAGTAGCTATAGGTGCCGTGCTCACGTCAGCCTTCACGGCAACCAACATTACCAGAGTGTGCCCGAAACGCTTTGCTACTAGTAGCTTTAGTATGTACTACCTCCATCTTTAAATCTAACAGAATGTTTGTACTCTAACGCTGCAACTATGTATGTACTGTTCCTAAATAAATTATTATTATTATTATTAATATTATTATTTTTATTATTATAGTGTGACGTGCGTGCGTTTATGACCCACGCTACTCGTGTGGAGGTGGTCATGATAATTTTGCTTACGGTGGGTTTTTTTTTGGGTGGGATAGTGTGATGTTGACGACATTTATATCATTTGTTCTGTTAGCGACGCCTCGTTTGTTTGCCCATGTTAATAAACTGGCAATACGGGGTTTAGTGAAGGGGTGTTGTATGGGGGTTTAGCGTGGGGGGTGTAGCATGGGGTTTAGTGTGGGGGTGTAGCAAGGGGTTTAGAGTGGGGGTGTAGCAAGGGGTTTAGCGTGGGGGTGTAGCAAGGGGTTTAGCGTGGGGGTGCAGCAGAGGGTTTAGCGTGGGAGTGCAGCAGAGGGTTTAGCGTGGGAGTGTAGCAGAGGGTTTAGCGTGGGAGTGTAGCAGAGGGTTTAGCGTGGGAGTGTAGCAGAGGGTTTAGCGTGGGGGTGCAGCAGAGGGTTTAGCGTGGGAGTGTAGCAGAGGGTTTAGCGTGGGAGTGCAGCAGAGGGTTTAGCGTGGGAGTGTAGCAGAGGGTTTAGCGTGGGAGTGTAGCAGAGGGTTTAGCGTGGGGGTGCAGCAGAGGGTTTAGCGTGGGAGTGCAGCAGAGGGTTTAGCGTGGGAGTGTAGCAGAGGGTTTAGCGTGGGAGTGCAGCAGAGGGTTTAGCGTGGGAGTGTAGCAGAGGGTTTAGCGTGGGGGTGCAGCAGAGGGTTTAGCGTGGGGGTGTAGCAGAGGGTTTAGCGTGGGAGTGCAGCAGAGGGTTTAGCGTGGGAGTGTAGCAGAGGGTTTAGCGTGGGGGTGTAGCAGAGGGTTTAGCGTGGGGGTGTAGCAGAGGGTTTAGCGTGGGAGTGCAGCAGAGGGCTTAGCATGGGAGTGTATCAGAGGGTTTAGCGTGGGAGTGCAGCAGAGGGTTTAGCGTGGGAGTGCAGCAGAGGGTTTAGCGTGGGAGTGCAGCAGAGGGCTTAGCATGGGAGTGTATAAGAGGGTTTAGCGTGGGGGTGCAGCAGAGGGTTTAGCGTGGGAGTGTAGCAGAGGGCTTAGCATGGGAGTGTATCAGAGGGTTTAGCGTGGGGGTGCAGCAGAGGGTTTAGCGTGGGAGTGTAGCAGAGGGTTTAACGAGGGAGTGCAGCAGAGGGCTTAGCATGGGAGTGCAGCAGAGGGTTTAGCGTGGGAGTGCAGCAGAGGGCTTAGCGTGGGAGTGTATCAGAGGGCTTAGCGTGGGAGTGTATCAGAGGGTTTAGCGTGGGAGTGTAGCAGAGGGTTTAGCGTGGGAGTGCAGCAGAGGGTTTAGCGTGGGAGTGTAGCAGAGGGTTTAGCGTGGGGGTGCAGCAGAGGGCTTAGCGTGGGAGTGTAGCAGAGGGTTTAGCGTGGGGGTGCAGCACGGGGTGTAGCGTGGGGGGAAGTTGGTGGGTGTGTGTCAGCTGGCCTGGCTCGCCAGCTGATGTCAGTGTTCACAAGACGGTCGACGAGTAAGGACGTCGTGCCGCTGCTCTGGTCCCTCCTGCACCCTTGCCAGGGTAACACCTCTGCAACATGGCTCAGTTACTGGGCAGTTACATTGATACCAAGAGAAAGGCAGCATGGAGGTATATAGAGGTAAGGCTTGATTTATGAGCTTTATCTCTGCTTATCGCGGGAGACCGAAAGGTCAGCATTATGGGCCCAGATAACGAGGACAGACAGGTGATTATGTACAGTATTAATTGAAAAATTGATCAGATTACAGTGGTTACTTAGTACAGTATATTGGTATATACTGTAGTTTATAAAGCCACTGAATAATGAAGGTATCCAAATAACGAGAGATAGTGGTGTGGCAATTTCTAGGAAGATGCATTTTTGTACTGTTTGGGGTTTCTACAATATTTTGACAAGGTCAAAATCATCCTTTTTGGCCAGATCATCGTCATCTTTGTTGGCAAGATGATTATGATCTGTGTTTTGGAGTTGACATTGACGGGGTCTAGAACCTTTGGCAAGACATGTGTCTTAGATCCGAGGGCCTTAGTGTCTTAGACAATTCTTCCATCTATGAAATTTATTCCATTTACTTCTTTAAATATATATTTTTATAGACAGTTATTGTGGCTCTTCTTGACTACAGTGCTCTGTAGTACACACTACTTGTTAATGAGACGATCTTCAGATATATTTAGTGACTAGCCCAAGCATACGTTTTTATCATAATCATCATGGTTCATATTAATGTTTATGGATACTGTTTTAAGCCAAATATTATCATTTTTACCTCAGTTTACCTGAATGTTCCTGACTTTTACCTTTAGACTGATTTGTTAGGTCAGTAGTAATGTTTTGCAGAAATTTTTGTGTTTTAGTAAGAAATGTAATGGAAACTTCATTAATATCATCAATACTACTTTATTCAGATTCCCAATTAATGTTTTGAAAAGCTTAAGCAAAGATATATACTGTACCTATTATTTCATTATGTAGTCTGAAGGCATGTTTCTTGGGATCAAATTTTATTAATGTTTGTGATAAGCAGTGTATTAATTATGGCAAAATTTGACAGGAATGGCAGTCAACAGCCTATTCACTGGTTGTGTTCACAGCAACAATGATAGTCATGTTTTGGGCGAGTGTTTTTCTCTACACATCTTTCTACTTCACCTACATGCCGGAGGAATCTATTACTTGGCCAATAAATTTTCATTACCGGTAAGCAAGAGCTGTATTTCTCCCGATGACGTTGGTCGAGCCTCACTGGCATGGTTTGCCACACCTAGAGGAACACAAGTGAAGTTTTATTGTTTAAGGTTGAAGACTAGTAGATTTTTGTTATAGTTGTATAGTCTTTTTTGTTAAGTCATATAAATCCAGGTAGTCACCAAAATGATTGTGTTAAATGTTTTCATTATACATACTGTATAGCACATTATTCTAGATATTTTTTTAAAGAGCAGTAGGTGAAATTTATAATTTGCAAAGATTAATGAATTATTTCAAAGTGTCATGTATGGGTGACAATAAACATGGCTTATTTTATTGAGACCTTTAAAATACAGTACTGAACAAATTTGAAATAATTGGGATCACTTCTTTAAAATGTTCAATGTAAATCACTAGTGACAACAGTTGAGCTCAACAAGCCACAACATAGGACAGGTAACAGATGTTTTCACCCATTGGTCATAGGATAATAAACCCATAGGATCACCTACCTCACAAAGCCGTAAATGTCAAGACAGTACAGTACACCAGTTCATAATTCAACTATAAAAAAATTATCAGAAATTATTGGGGGACCTTAGACCTTCGTACTACCATCAAGGCCACCTGAGATGGTGGCCATCTGAACAATTCAGATTGTAGTTCCCATTATTGGAGATGAGAGGCTTGTTAGGTTTATCTGGGACCCTGCAAACCAATGACTAACCCTCCTCAGAATGTTGCCTAATTTCCAGGTACTGATGTTTATGCTAGGTGAACAGAGGCATCATGTGAAAGTAAATATGGCCAAACATTGTTCGGCCTCAGGGACAGGACCTGGGACCTTTTGGTTGTCAACCATCTGTTCTACAGAACCCTGTGTAAGGAGTGAAAGCAATTAATGGAAAAGAATGAGAGAGAGAATATAGATGTTAATCTCGCTTAACAAATGTGTACAGTGAATTGAGCAGTGATTTCATTATTATTAATGCAGAACATGCTATTCCTTTTCACACACTTTAAATTGAGGATAAAATTCAAGTTAGATAATTAACCTGCTGATCTATCCCATTTCTAAAACAGACATATTGCAGTAGAGTGTAAATAGCCAATATATAAATTTTTTCCATGTGTCTTGTATTTCTTGCAGTTCATGCCAGGAAAAGCCGGGTATCTGCAGCAATCCATGTGCCATTGTTGCCGTTACTGACCCTAATCGTGGCTCTGTCCTTGCCCGAGGTCAGAAATACCGTGTGGTTGTTGACTTTGAGATGCCAGAATCGCCCACAAACCAAAGGATAGGTAATGAAGATAACATGTTAAGTCTAGGTGTGTTCAGGATATGCTTTGTATAGAAATGGCTTGCTGTCAAGTGTGCTTTTGGCAAAAACACCATTACTGGACTGGTTGCTGGCAAAAATGGCACTTTAAAGTAATAATAATTAGACCAAACAGGTAGTGGGATGTATTAAAACAAGACTCACCAGACTCCCCCATGTTATAAATGTAGGATGTTGCATTCACACACACCAGTAGTTTCACTTGATACACTATTTATATACTGTACTTATTTATTTACTTATTTATATACAAGAATGTACATTGGGTTGTGAGAGTACATAACATTGGTGTTTGAGCATTATATTCTTGCAAGGCCACTAACATGCTATGCATGCTAGTGGTCTTGCTTCTGCATCACTACTTCACTAACTTAACTAAACGCTACTTAATTCATGCTTGAATCATTTTTACATTCGAGATACTTTAGGGAAAAGACAATTTTTCCAGTGAAGTTTTGTTGGTGTATTTTAGATAGTATATATAAACATGAATGTAGACAACAGATAATGGTGGTAGTGATAATTATTTCATGTAAAATTAGTTCATATGGGGAACTGCTGAAAGGTTTTGATTATTTTAAATACAGCGTTGGGTTGTGTAACTGACAAAAAAGAGGAATGTGTGTAAGACAGAGGAGCAAAATGATGAATACAATGAAAAATTAATTTAAAAACTTTGGTTGAGAATACTTTTGGCCATTGAGCTATCTGGAGAAGTGGTAAAGCCTGCCCTGATGTCTGATGCAAGACACTGCTGTAATGTGAACACATCAAGAATTGGAGCAATAAAAATGGCAAAACTTGTATATTTAAAACACTTGCAAATTAGTAAGAGTAGGTCAGCTAATGCTGTTAGTGCAAATTTTAGTCTTAAAATATCAAAGCCACTAACACGAATGGAGAGGTGTAAAGTGCAGATTTCAATACATTGTTAGACTGAGGAATGTGCCAATATGGTTTGGTTATATTGAACAAATAAACAGTATTGAGGATAGAAAGAGAAAGGTGGTCATGATGGATAGAAATGGTAACTGAGGAGTGAATAGTAAGTGGTGATTAAGTTAACAGCTCAAGAGAAGTGATAGGGAAGAAAGTTTGGTAAAAGCAGTTTGTGAAGAAGGAACAAGTTTCCACATGTTTGTACGTAACAGCTCTCAAGGAGCACCACATCCCATCATGAAATGACGGGAACTGCTGTAAATGATTTGCTGAAGTGTGGTAGTACTGGTTCTCAGTGATGCTGTGACGCCTGTAAATGAATACCCACATCCACTCGCCAATAATCTTGTCACTGTGCAATAAAAATTTAGCAATCAACCTACCTATCGATGTACTGTACCTGTGTGGATTTTTACTACTTAACAGACTGACCTTTGTTCTTTTCAGTTTGAGAAGCTTTACACTTGTATAAAGGTATATAGAAAGGTATAACGGACACATGTAAAACAGATCCAGGCCTTTTCTATAAATTCGTTAAAAGCAAGCTGCATGTAAAGGATAAAATCCAGAGATTGAGAACTGGGAACAGGACTACTGAGAATGAAAAATGTGCGAAAGGCTAAATGAACAGTTCCAAAGTTTGTTTGTACAAAATGAGGATTTCATAGAGCCGGACCCAATACCACTTCCAGAGCATGCCATAGAATACATAGAGGTATCTTAAGACGAAGTAGAAAAATTACTCAAAGGACTAGGAAGCAATAAAGTGGTTGGACCTGATGGAGTTTCACATTGGGTGCTGCAAGAATGTGCAACTGAGTTGAGCATTCCACTCCAGTTAATATTCCAGACATCCTTGTGCACAGAAATTTTAGCAGATACTGTATATGGAAAAAGGCAAACATGGTACCAATTTATAAAAATGGTAGCCGAGAGGAACCTCTAAATTATAGACCCGTCTCATTAACAAGCGTGGTAGTCAAAACACTAGAAAAAATTGTTGAAACCAAATGGGTTGAACACCTAGAGATATATACAAGATATGTACATATATATATGTACTGTATATACAAGAAGGTACACACAGAAATCACAATAGCATGATGCATCAAATGAACAAATCCACAAGGGCCGTGATGAGGGTTCGAATCTACGTCCAAGGGGATCAAAGAATATTGAGAGGTGCGACATGGCTGCAATTCTTGACCATGTCGTGGCACAATAGATTAAGGAGCATCTGGGATCCTCTCGGACGTAGGTTCAAATCATCATCACGGCCCTTGTGGATTTGTTCATTTGTTTACAAGAAAGTACATTGGGTTTATGAGTGCATATAGCATTGATGTTTTTACATTCCTGCAAAGCATTTTGGGTAGGTCCTTAATCTAACAGATTATTTTAAGTAGATAATTTGTAGCAAAATTGGAAGAATATTAACAGGTACAGTACATTATAAGAAAATTTTAGGATTTTTTTATCACGTAGCAAGTACATTGTAGCATAACTTGCATTCAGCATAACCATGATATAAGTTGATAGCAGTGATTACAATGGTGAAGCTGCATGGCTTAGGCACATATATTAGGGGAGTGGGTAGCACAAGATACAGTTAGAGTTTGAAGCACTAGGTAGGAAACTATGAAGATGAAATTAGGTACTTTTCTGTGTAGAGCCCCTCCAGCACCCTGTAGCTGACTGGGCTGAAATGTATGTATTAGATCATGGTATCTGTCAATTTGATGGAGTTCTATCCTACCGGGGACCGCAAGGCAGAACCTGGTCCCCCCTCAGAGAGGTACGAGGAACAATGGCCTATAGAAACCCCCATGTGGTTGAAAGCATTCTATGTCTGCCATCTACTGGGTTAGGCATCCAGAAAGGTAGATGTCCCAAAAGAAACAACTGGTTAAAAATTGTGACCGAAAGTCAAACTAGCAAGCAGAACTCCCCAAACTGAAAATGAGCAAAACAAAGTTTTCTTTTCAAAACTGTGGTAGATGGTTGGAACAAGCTCAGTGAGAAGGTGGTGGAGGCCAAAACCATCAGTAGTTTGAAAGTGTTATATGACTAAGAGTACAGGGAAGACAGGCCACCACTAGCATAGCTCTCATACTGTAACTACACTTAGGTAATTACTTTCCTAATGCAGTCCCAGTGGCGTAGTGGTAAAGCACTTGCCCGGTGCTTCGCGAAACTTGGCCTGGGTTCGTATCCTGACTGGGGAGGATTGACCGGGTGTCAATCCTTAACTGTTGCCTCTGTTCACCCAGCAGTGAATGAGTACCTGGTTCTTAAATGATTTGGCAGATCGTATTCCGGGGAAAAAATTAGATTTAAGGACCTACCTGAAATGATATGCATGTTAGTGTCTTTACAAGAATGTAAGAATGCTTGTACTGTATATATAAATAAAAAAAATATAAAATTTAGGTAAATACTTGTCATGGTAGCTTCCAAACATGACTGCAATAACTATAATTCTAGATGCTCTTTTTTTTTCTATAGTGGCAGTTTAAAATGCAGTTGTTCTTTTGCTACAGTATAATATCACCTCCATAGACTTTTTTTTTTTCTCTCTCTCTCCAAAACCCCATACATTTATAAGAATGCCCATGGATTATAGGACATTTTGGTTCAGTACTTTGGCATTATTATCTGCTGAGGCTTTCTCTCAATTTATGGTTACTGTACTTGACACACATTAGCAAATAGCAGTATTTGGAGTTGCATACACCACCTTTGGTGTTGCGGCATTCAACTTGGCATCGTGTTGGCTTGGGACATGTCCAGAAATATTATGAGTGGCTTAGCTAGGCTCAGGGTTCGGGTGTTTTTAATCCCTAATAAAAAGGGACGCATCTCGTCATGTGAGACAAGCAGATTTTAACTAGGCAAGAATCAAATGTTTTAACAATAATTTATTTCACTAGATCTCATTTTCCAATTGGTAGATCATGGTAACTCGGGGTGACAGTCATAATGGTATTATAGTAAAAAGACACTCATTTAATTCTACTACGGTACTGTGCTATTTTTCTTAAAGTGCGTCATATTTGCACTTGAGCTGTCTCCGTGCACATTAAGGGTGTTTAGGGTGAAAATATTTTATGCTATTTATTTCACTTTACAGCTTAATGTTTAATGTAAAATACTTTCAGGTTTGGGAATAAAATTAGATCCCATACTGTAATTTTTTCTTAATAGTATATTTCCTATAAATTTGCAAGTTCATTTATTAAAAGGGTGCAAACATAATTAATTACACAGTACTGCATGTTATATTTAGTTTAAATTTAATTTTTTTGTTGTAAAATTTTGGCTTTTGTATTTTTTTAATGGATGTGACCAAGACATCAAGTGTACTGCATTAGATAGAAGTATTTTATATGCAGCTTTAGTTGAACTGGCCCCGGGTAAAAGTAGATAGTAGTAAATTTTGCTTGAGGTTGTTAATTGAGAGTAAAGCTTACTTGAATTTGCTTATTGTGAGAGTAAACTTTGCTCAGGGTATTTACTGCGAGTAATCCCTGCTCAAGGTTCTTAATTGAGTGCGTAATTCTTGTGTGATGTTCTTAGTTGTTAAACTCTTCATTGCATCATAACATTAGGCTAGTTGAATTGTCCATTGGACATGACTATAAATGTACTATCTGTTCCCCAGACATGACTTGGTAAATGTGCTTTGTTCCCCAGAAATGGCTTGGTAAATGTGCCTTGTTCCCCAGAAATGGCTTGGTAAATGTGCTTTGTTCCCCAGAAATGGCTTGGTAAATGTGCTTTGTTCCCCAGAAATGACTTGGTAAATGTGCTATGTTCCCCAGAAATGGCTTGGTAAATGTGCTTTGTTCCCCAGAAATGGCTTGGTAAATGTGCTCTGTTCCCCAGAAATGACTTGGTAAATGTGCTTTGTTCCCCAGACATGACTTGGTAAATGTGCTTTGTTCCCCAGACATGACTTGATAAATGTGCTCTGTTCCCCAGAAAAGACTTGGTAAATGTGCTATGTTCCCCAGAAATGGCTTGGTAAATGTGCTCTGTTCCCCAGACATGACTTGGTAAATGTACTACTGTATCTATTTCCCGGACATGATTTGATAAATTTACCTGAATTTACCCGAGGACCACCATTTCCAGTGGCCTTATAAAAGACAGGAAGCTGGCAGCTTGTCAAAGGTCCCCCTATTTTTCCTGATGATTTTGAGCTGGATTGTGAACTGCAGCAGTGTTTTGGCATTTACGGCTTCGGTGGGTAGGTGGTGCCATGGGTTTTATAGCACTGTGGGTTAAAATGTATTTTCTGTGTTCTGTCCTACATTGTGGCTTGTTGAGCTTGCACCATTGCTCCTTCTATGTGTTACATTTGACGTTTTAAAGTTATCTGGATCAATGTCGTAAAGTTGCAACCCACCTCAAATAGGTGGGCTGTCCTGATTGGTTCAGTCAGCAAAATTATTACAATATCGTGGCTAAAAAGAAATAACCCAACCCCAGTAAATCGTCTTCCTTCCCCAGATATCTGTTAGTAATATTGATTATTTATGAATGATTATTTGATTAAAAGTTCATGCATTTTTATATAAAAGTTTAATATTAGAAGCAACTCATGGATAATTAGATATGAGTGGTATCATATGAATCATGTCAGTTGTATGGCATATTCAGGTCACTCCTGAAAGTATGCAACTCTTACAAGAGGCAACAGCTTCAAGCTCAATAATCCACAGTGTAGGGCAACAGATACTTTCTCACTAGTTCAGTAAAAATATTTTGGGGAATCTCTTACCTACCAAAGCTGTTAATACAAAGAGTGCTATTGTTCAAAATAAAAACAAAGAAATCCTCGATTAATAAGTGGCCTTCCACAAGCTACTTCTGTAATTTCCACCATATAGCAATCACTAGAGGTGCCATGTGGTGGCAGGCGAGTGTGTATCTAGGTGATGATCTTGCCATGAACACGATTTCACTGCAATCCTGAAATCCCAGACTTCCTTTTGGTGCTTTAAACGATCAGATTCTGATCCTGGACCTTGATATTATGCTAGTAGGTCATAGTCCTAATTTATTTCCTCAAGGTTTAGTGTCTTCCATGTTGTAACCTATTTGAGGTGGGTTGCTGAGTGACCCACCACAAATAGGTGTTTCATTACACTAAATGTAAAATTTTTCCCCATTTGCATTTATGCTGTAGAATCTAAAACATCTACAGTGTGTATATAAAGAAACTAATACTGTATATTAAAGTGTACTCCAATAATTGACCAAGTTCCTCTTTGTCCATTAATCAGGAATGCTACATCTATATTGCTTAAGCACTTCTTTGTATGCAAACAATTTATGAAGCTGTGACAAGCAAAATGTTGTCAGCTATTCAAGTCTATTCCTCTTTGTGTTTCAATACATAAATATAAACCGAATATACCCGGTAATTACTTTAAATGTCATTGTTTATATCGTGAGCTTCAGTATGATTCTTTTATTCAATTTTCAAATAATAATAAATTTATTTTCTAGATGAATTTTGTTCATGTGTGACGTGAGTGATTGAACTACTTTAATAGCACAGGTATACTGTAGTGTATTAACTGAGCATTCTAATATTTTTTATATTTTATCTTTATAATAGTTATATAAGAGAAAGAAGGGGAAGGAAAGTCATGTTATCCCTCTCCCCCCCCCCCCCAAAAAAAAAAAAATTAAATGATTCTGCAAGTATACCAAATCAGCAGGTATGTTCCTGATCAACATGAGCATGAAGACGCATACAGGGGAAGTGCTTCGTGAATCCTCACGCTCCAGCATGCTGCGTTATAAGTCGCCTCTTCTGCAAACAATATCTACCATGACCTTTTCTCCCTTACTTCTGTATGGTATACAAGAGGAGAAACAAATGGTGACGGTGGAACTCTTCTCTCAGTACGAGGAAGACCCGGTTTGTGCCATTGCAGAATTTTAAGACTATTGTCATGGTTTTTGTACAAATTTTCATCTAAATTTTGTGATTATTTCCTTTAAGTAGTGTTAGTGTATAATGGATTGAAGTAGTTGGTATAAGTTGTTTGCACCTATAAGTGGCTTTGTACATTTTTCTTTTGCATCGTTTCTTAAGTACTGTAGGACTTAATTTCAGTAGCTTAACGAAGTATTTGTCAGCAAATTTTGTGACTTGATTATAGACCCTTTGCATGTGATGTCACGTTGTCACATGTTTAACCCTTGTGTTGCTAAGGGCTAATTGGCCTTTGTTACCCACAGGCACATAACAAAAAAAGAAACAAAAAAAAATAATTTTTTCCTTAACCTGTTAGTGTTCCCTGATCACAGGAAAAATAATAAAATATCGTAAGTGGCATATTTTGGCCGCTATAGGGCGGGGAAGTCTGGCAAAAAAAGGCGCTGACTCGGCATGCTTCCGAAGCGGTTTGCTCAGCCCCAGCTGTCAGGCAGGAGTGGCCACAAAGATATAATTACCTAATTATTTCAATGTCTCTGAATGATTTTTCTTAGTTTTTTTTGCTGTAATATTATTCAAAAGTGTGTAGTATGATATGTTTATATAATAAAATGTGTGAATCATTGCTGTATTCAAAATTATGGTGTGCATATTATTAATTCAATTATTGTGTTCATAAAACAATAAACAAATACTTTGCTGGTTATTACACTATATACACAGGTTATATATAAGTATCTGCATGTTTTGTTCACCATAATGAACCACTAAGTTGATATTGTGAGTCAAAAAGCAGCGAGGTGTGGCCACCACATCTACCAGTCAGCCTCTTGCTGCCACTCCCTCTCTCAATGACTCCTCACTCACCCACATCCTCCTCCCACTATACTGTTTTTGCTTTTATTCACTATATACAGACATTATATATAAATATCTAAATGTTCTGTTCACCATAACCGTTCATCTAAGCTGGTATAGTGGCCAAAGAGCAAAGTGGCCACCCCTACCCAGCGTGACAAATCATGCAGATGTCGCCACCTCCCTCACCAAAATGGCTTCTCCCAACACATCTTTTGCTGTTATTACACTATATATATATATATATATATATATATATATATATATATATATATATATATATATATATATATATATACATATATATATATATATATATATATATACATATATATATACATATATATATATACATATATATATATATATATATATATACATATATATATATACATATACATATATATATATATACATATACATATATATATATATATATATATATATATATATATATATATATATATATATATATATATATATATATATATATATATATACACATTATATATAAGTATCTACATTTGTGTTCACCATAACGAAGCACTAAGTTGGTATGCTGAGTGGCAGTGACAGCCCGCCACTGGCTGTCACTCCCTCCCTCCCTCACCTCACCTGACTCGCCAACATTCTCCTTCCACCATATAAATAAAATATATATATATATATATATATATATATATATATATATATATATATATATATATATATATATATATATATATATATATATATATTTTATATATATATATATTTTATATATATATATATATAAATAATAATTTCATATCAAAACAATTATCAAACTGTACAGCATTTTTAGTAAGGCTAATAAAAATACTATATTAAACATTTTGCTAAAAAAAATCATGATACATTGGGTGGGGGATTGTCAGAAACACAACATCCTTTTCCAAAATTCATATTCTCAATTGAAATATGCCCTTAAGAATAAAAGGATAGTATTAGCTGGGTATGCAAAAATATGCATTCCAACAGGCATAAGACTATTCCTGTTGGAATGAAATTTAATTGAATTCATTGTATTTAATAATTTATAATTACAAATTGAACTTGTAAGACAACATCTTCCATGGTTGAGGCGATTCTTTCATATTAATGAACTGTTCATACATACTGACTTTACATATCATATGCAGTACTGTACAGTATAACAGTTTATATTTGGACTCGGATTGTGCTAGTAGAAAATATCCTGGCACAATTGAAAGCTTAAGTCACTTGTTTGAAAAAGCTAGCTAGTTTATTATGCCAATCAGTCCTCAACTCAATTCACGTCAATCCTCAACTGTATGCCTCTGTTCACCCAGCAGTGTTTGGGTACCTGATTGTCAAACGATTTGTTGGTCATATTCTAGGGAAACTAGTGGGTAAGGCTTACCATGTGCTATGGGAAGGTAAAGCTTTCGGCCTGCCTGCTAACAGGAGTCAGTAGCCGTCTGTTCCTATACCTGTGTAAAAAATTAAACACATACAGTAATAGATTAAGACATTGAACTTCCCTTGTTTCCTTAACTAAGAAAGTTAGCAATAATGAATTATAATAGCTAACCACACCTTCTGGAAGAATTAGGTTAATTAGGGTAGTAAGTGATTTTACCACCTTCATATGTTGTTGCATATTTGCTCCTAACATAAACTAACTAGTAAGTAAGTACATGTGCGATCCATTGTGTGTTCAAGTCTTCCCAGGGGAAAAAGTGTGTGCATTTAACTGCAAGAAACTTAAAAATTAATATGATGCTATTTGTTAGACTATAAGAATATAATTACACCTCTCCTTTGCAGTTTCAATAATCCACACCCCTCCCTCCCCTCCCTCTCTCTCTTATAGGTGATACCACTCTCTGAGGTTCATGTAGAGCTGCAGACCCGGTTCGTAGAACTATATGGTGCACAACTACGAATTCATGCCGTTTTCTCTGGTCTTCGTTACCTTATGTATCACTACCCACTTACAGCAGCCACCATGGGTATTGGTATTTGCATGATGTTCCTCTCTGCTGTTGTGATCTTCAGCTGGTACCAGTTTTCTGGACCCACCTTGAATGCCAGGGTTTGTAAACCAGTTTCCCATGCATTTATCTTGAGAAAATTGTTGTTTCTTTGATGCACGTGCATACTCATCGTTAATGAACATGTGTTTGATATGTACCGTACTCTCATAATATGTTTAAATTAAATATATTTTATTAGGGCTGAAATATATATTTTTAATAGTTCAGTAATAACATTAATTTGTTCTGAATATAAATTAAACTTAAGATAAATTCCTTTGAAAAAAAGCATGTACTTGTACCTGCAAGCCAACACATGAAATTTTTTATTTATAGTATTTTCATTTAATGGTAATGGTGCTTAATTTTTTCCTTACCCTGTCACTGATGTTCATCATTCCTCAATATTTGCTACACAAAAATGTAACTTTTCTACTCATAAAATTCATTTACACCTTTCATACTTTTTCAAATGAAGGAAATGTTATACAGTATTCTTAGTTACTCAGATCAACTCTCCTTCCTTAAAATATCTTTAGATTGTTTTTAGATTGATTACTTGTTCAGGAACTTATAGACAATAGGACATGCTATACATAGTGCTGTACTTTCATAATAAAACATACAAAAAAATAGGATTGGAAAGGAAGGGGAAGCATGATAAAAAATGGAAGAGATGAAAGTAGATATTGTGTGGGTGAGAGCAGTGTTAGTAGGGAGGAGTGGACGTAATTAAGCAAGAGTTGAACTACTGCTCGATACCTGCTTGATGGGGTCCTAGGAGTTCTACTTCCCATGCCCAGCTTGTACAGTACTTGAGGAAGACTTTGTGAATGCCACTCATTTATTTAATGGGAAATAATACCCCGGACAGATAAGAAATCTGCTTGCAATGATAGCACATTACTATCCATGGTTTGGTATATTTGGCATATGAAGGTCTTCGAATATTTGGCATATGAAGGTCTTGGAAAAGCTGCACATAATATGATGCTAGTAGTGCCAGTAAAGCACTACACTGCAAGCATTGTGGAATATCTTTGGATTTTCCACAGTTGGTGCAAACTTGTCATTGAAAAGCCCTCAAAATTTTGCAGATTGGTGCAAATCAAATGGCTTACCCTAATGGCAATGCTCTACCAATTTCTCAAGGCAACAGCAAGTCAACTAACTCAACAAATGAAGGTATGTATCTGTTTTATGTGTAATATGCAGCTTTTCAATATACAGTAGTATTCAGGATTACAGTAAGTTGTATATCTTTATACATATTTACCTGAGAGCCACTAAGACTAGTGGCCTTGACGAGGACAGGAAGCTAGCAGCTTGTCGAAGGTCCCCTCATTTGCTTTGATAATCTTTTCCAGTTGGATTTTAAAATTTAACAGTTTTGGCATTTATGGCTTCGGCAGGTATGCAGTTCCATGGGTATAACCCTGTGGGTGAAAAAGCATCTCCTGTTCAGTCCTACATTGTGGTTTGTTGGGCTTGAAACTGTTGCATCTTGTTTGTTACATCTGAGCTTTTGAAGAAATTGTCTGGATCAACGTCCTCCAGATTGTTCAGTACTATTTTAAAAGTTTCGGTGAGATCCGCTCTGTCATGCCTGGTTTGCAGTGTTGTTAGGCCTGTCCCCCTCAACCATTCCTGATGTGTGAGATGACTTAGCTCTGGAAGGACTTTTGTTGCCCGGTGTTGCACTTTCTCTGGAGCAACTATGTTTTTTCTGAAAATGAAGTCTCCATGCTAGGATACAGGAATCCAAATAGGGGCACATCAGAGATCTATACTGTTGAATCACTACCTTCTTTTCCTTACCAAGGGTTTGGTTAGTTTTTCTGACTGCTGCTCCTACCTGTTGTGCAACTTTTAGTGAGTGCTGGATTTTGACTCCAAGCCCCTTTTCTTCTTCAATCTGCTGCAGTGTAATGTTATTAATTTGGCAGTTGTGGCATGGATTGCTATGCACCACATGTAAGGTCTTGCATTTGTCGATATATTACAAAATGTGCTTTTCAATTGAATAAGCAGTAATTTGCCTGAGCGCTGTACTTAAGGACTATTCTAATTCACTCGAGTCAAAAAATCTATAACTATAAGAGAAAATGTCTGTCTATCTGTTCGAGGTTGAGAGTCTGGATGCTTGGGGCTAGCTTCTCCTAACTCTCCAGTGGGAATGGTTTGGGGGGTATAGGATGAACCTAGACTGGTTGGGGTCTCCAGAATTCGAGGGAACTGCATGCCATGGAAGAGGAGGGGCTACAGGTGTCAAATTTTCCAAAGCTTGAAGACAAGAAAAAGAGGAGATATGATCACTAAATAGGGAATTGACAAATGAATTCTTTAAAACTGCAACTTCAAATACAAGAGGGCATAGATTCAAGTTAAGCAAAAATACAGTACAAATATCAAAGTTCTCTTTTGTAAACAGTGGTAGATGGTGTGAACAAGTGAGGTGGTGGTGGATGCCAAAATTGTTGGTAGTTTCAAATGATCATACTGTATAACAAAGAACAGTAGAGGGAAGATGGGACACCACAAGCATAGCTCTCATCTGGTAGCTACACTTAAGTAATAACATACTCACCCCCACAACTGATTTTGATGCTGTCTGCCAACTTTGCTTGGCAAAACATTTTAAATAAAAATTTCAGTTTTTTATTTAATATGAATAATTACACACTGATATAGGAAAAAAAAATGTCTAATCATCATACTTTGCAGCATAAAACAGTCGATCCTCCCATAACTTCAAAGTCTTTTTCAGAGCTGATGAGAAACTATTAATTTTATTAATTGTTCTGAGAGGGAAGAGGAGAAGGTGAGAGATCTATTTTTTTATTAGTTTAGCATTGTGACACATTATGTACTTATATCAGGAAAATTTTACTAACATTTTAATAATAATTCTATGGCCATACAGGGTGGAAACAAATTAAAACAACCTTCACCATCTTAAAAGCCCCTTATTTTTTTCTGAAAACAAAGGGAAAACCATTATAATTTTAAAATATTTTGTACTGCTCGACTCCTCCCACTGCCTAACCACTCGCATGCTAATGGAAAACTATATTATTTTTTTATGAGAAAGATAGAGAGATAGTGAAAAGACAGAGAGAATAAGAAAGTGACAAATAGACAGGAATACACACAGATTGACCTGCAGAGAGACCAAGTCAACCAGGGCAAAGAGAAAAAAGAAACAAGACAGACAGACACAAAGATAGGGAGAAAAGAAAGAAGTGGGAAAGAGGGGATGAGAACTGGGGATGTTTGAAGAGAAGAGAAGAGATGGGAGGTGAGAGAGAATGGAGAGGGGGGAAGGTATCTTGGAGAAGAAAGATGATAGGGAAGAGGAGACGAGATAGGGAGAAAGATGGAAAGGGGGGAAGGTGGGAAGAGAGGGAAGGGTAAGGAAAGAGAAAGGGGAGATTAGAGAAGGGGAAGGGAGACCTGGGCACAGCTGGTTCAGCCAAGTGAACCCCCCTAGTAATTTATATACAGTAGCACATTTTACTTAGTCTTCTTTCTTTAGTGAGAATAGTGTAGAGAACTTTTACACGCAATGTTTCCAAAAGACAGATGTATAGTTTATCATTGTTGGAAGAGGTCCATACCTTACCCATTTCTTTTACTATTTTAAGAGGATGTCTTATACTACAGAATCTATGGATGTCTTGGAACAAACCGTGAGCTCGACTTCCTCTCCCAAGACATCAAAACAGTCTCCTGACAGTTCAGTTCCTGGAAAGGCGGCTGGAAGTGAAGAAGCTCACGAGAAGGTTGGTAGTGATGCAATGTTCAGTACGGTGGTTTAACCCTTCACGAGATATCTGGGAAATATTTTGGTTGCTTTGTCCTGTGCTGAGCAAGGATGCTTATTAATTCAAATCTGTAACTGCAGGTTATCTTGAAATTCACTTTCAGATTGTTGTACAATTAACATTAGCATTTTAAAGAAGCAGGCATTTTTTTTTTTTTTTTTTTTTTTTTTTTTTTTTTTTTGAGATATATACAAGAGTTGTTACATTCTTGTACAGCCACTAGTACGCGTAGCGTTTCGGGCAAGTCCTTAATCCTATGGTCCCTGGAATACGATCCCCTGCCGCGAAGAATCGTTTTTTTCATCCAAGTACACATTTTACTGTTGCGTTAAACAGAGGCTACAGTTAAGGAATTGCGCCCAGTAAATCCTCCCCGGCCAGGATACGAACCCATGACATAGCGCTCGCGGAACGCCAGGCGAGTGTCTTACCACTACACCACGGAGACTGCATTTGTAGTGAATGTGCATGGTGACATGTCACCGGCTTGTGAGTGAGTGGTGGCTGAGCAGATTTTCACATTTTGTCTCTTGTTCTTTATTTCTTGTATCTCATTTCCATTAACTGCAGGAGTGTTTCCAGCACTTTTGGATACTGTACCATCAAATACCATTATCATTTCAATTTCACTTGCTGGCCAATCAATAATTTATTGTACAGTATTAGGCACAGTATTGTCATTTTACTAGTATATTCTTTTATCAGGGAAGGTCTGATCATGTGGAAACAAAGAGACGTGACAGCGATGATTTTGAGGTGGTCAGCTCATCAAAGATGCCAGGTTAGTATCAATATTTCTCCTGTAAGCTGTTTTCATTTCTGAATGTTGCTCTTTATATTTGTTTCATCTTTGGTGCCAATTCATATTGCAAATACTGTGTAATTTAGATTTGCATAGTAAACTATTGTCCAAGGTGAGTAGGATAATGCATACAAAATTTCCTTCAGTTTTGAAGAGCATCAACAAGGGATTTTGATTTGTGGAACCAATTACTAGTACTGCGTAACGTGGTGGAGGTGGGGTACTGCTTCGTGAATCTGGGCCCCCTGCTCTTTAGCTTTGCTCTGTATATGGCTGTGCAACAGCCTGAGTTAGTTCTTTGGTTATGCTACTGCTTTAATGCCATTTTATATTGCTGCTCTACAGACAGACTAGTAAGGAAGAAGTTATGAGTTGCTAATGCACAGATCTGAAGAGGATGTACAGTGTGTAGTTGGTTCTGTACAGTATATAGTCCTCTTTCTATATGTAGAATGTGAAATTTAATCATTCAGTTTAAAGGGGGATTGAAAGATGAAGTAATTTATTTTCTTCACCACTTGGTATGTCAAGTTGCTCCTGTTTTGTAGGCAGTGTATCCCCATATTTTGTCCTTACAATATACACTTAATATGTACTCTTAATTAATTAAACTGTTCATTAATACAAATAATAAAGAAAATCTTTAATTTCAACAGATGAAATAGGCTGCCATAAAGTATCAAAACCAACTGTCTGTCTGCCAAGTGAGGTAGACAGTAGACAGGGATCAGATGTTTACGGTAGTGATGATCATGGCTTAACAGGTGAGGCAGTTAGTCAACAGTTACCAGGCATGTGCAAAAATGATGATGACGACATTTCAGGTGAGACAGACAGCAGACAAGGCTCTATATATGATGACCAGGACAGTGACAGTACAGGTGAGGGGGTTCACAATCTATAAAAACTGTAGACCAGCTTATGTGGGTGTTTGACAGCTTTATTTGTAGGGTGACTGTTGCTTGGAACTCAGTGTGTCATGTTAAAGGCGTATAAAATATTGACATCATCTAAGCTAAGTACTGTAAGGTACACTGTGACTTGTTAATAATTAAAGTGCTACAAAATTGTTTAGTTTCACATGCTCAAATTATCATGCTAATATTTACTATACCTGTTTGTCAGCCACTGTACACTGTAGATTACTCACCAAGATGAATTTTCCATAGTTGAACTTTGGCTCTTGGACCTTTTAATCTTTAATCAACTGATGTACCCATTGTTACAACCCTATATTCCATTTTTTCCCCTTTCAACTACAAGAGGTTTACTTCATTTATTCTCTCCTCATTGCTCATTCTTCTCAGCTCTGGGACTTTCCTGATGGCATGCTCTGGACATTCTCCAGCTTTGTATTAATCTGGGAAAGGAAGCATATTTAGACATATCCAGATCTCCTTAGTTCAGCTACTTATCTTTCCCAAGATACAACCCACAACAGTTGCCCAACTCCTGGGTACCTGTTCACTGTTAGGTAAACAGAGGCATCAGGTGAAGCAAACATTACACAAACTCATGACCTATCAGCTGGGATCCGACTGTGTTTATCAGTGTGCCACAGGATACGAACTCTTCGCTAGTGCTCCATATTAGTAAATTGGTCTGACATGTGGTATGTAAGGTCCTTAATGAATTATTATTCAAATTTCTAAAGGCAGTTCTCATGTTGGTACAGTAAAATTTACTTACTGTTTGATGATTCCTGGTTGGTGTAGGTTTAGAGATGTTTTCAGTATAATATCAATCCATAGATCTTTTGTTCCTGACTGGTTCCAGGAGGATTTCCTCTCATGCTTTGTACCTTATGTCTGGCATCTTGTTCCTAGTACCCTGCTTCATTAATTTGTACTTAAGTGAAACTCAAATAGCAGCTTGTTGGAATATTCTTTAAATCTGTCTTGGTCATTCTATAGTTTCATGCAATCTTCCATGATATGTTTCCCCACATAATTTGTCAACAGGAATCTTGTATTTTTCTTGTAGTTAGTGAACTCTATGGCTTGTGAAGGAGCTACTGCACTGCACAAATATAATCCCAGGTCTTCATTGTACTGGTTCTGTACTTGTACATCCTCTCTTCCACAACACATTAACCAGAGACAGCATTCACTGTCCTACTGGCTTGTCATACTAAGACATGTTACTGTCAATACCTTCTTTCTCTAGGAAACACCTGTGATCTCGATAGTCACTAACTACAGCGGATAACAGTGTCCCAGTTGCTGGCCACTGACTGACTCGGATACCTGCTCTACCTTGTAACTTTACAATATTTCTCTTATTATTGCTAAGCTGTGTTTTAATATCCCTTGTCTGACAACTCTCACAGGTTTGTTACATTTTGGAAGAAGAGTAACTTCCTGCTCTCCATTTTGTACTTTAGCTAGGCAAGCTTGCAATTATCTCTTGTATGTGCCACTTTAGAAATGTTAAGTGGATCAAATTTGTTATATAACTTTTGCATCTTGAGTGTCTAAAAGCTCAGGCCTTTCATGCCTAACAGTTTCCAGTCCTGTAGCCCTCAGTGTATCCGGGTTGGCCTACATGAGCAGATTTTATATATGCAGGTGTGGTCTCCTTGCTTGTGTAGAATTGTCAAGAGGGGGTCATGCAAGGGATTTGTGAAGTTAAATAATTTGAATTTCCTTGTTTCTGAAGGTATTTTTAACTTCATAGTCTGTTGCCGAGTTTTAATAGATACTGCTTATAATGCTACATTCAGTGGTTGGTAACTGTAATGTGCAATGTTGTTCCATTTGTAAAGCTTTATTTTTGTTTTTTAATGTATAGTATTAATGTATGATAACATTTGTACATTCACCTTTATCCTGTTCCCTATTTTCAAAGTGGGGGAGGCATTAACCAGGGAAAAATGTAAAACAATGCAGGGAATTTTTTAAAATAATACTTCACCAATAAACACAAAAGTCTCTTCACAATAGTTTGTTACCCCGGCACTTTTTATGCACTGTTCATTCTAACCAGAGCCTCTCACTTCTGTTGTCATCTTTCTGCCCCTTTTCATTTTCTGCCATCTTTCTGTGTCATTTCTGTGCTTTACCTCTTTCTCTTGACATAAAAAATGCATCACAAATTGTCCATTTCAACTAGTCAAGAGTTGAAACTACTTCACCTCTTAGTTGAAACTAATTTCAACTACTACAAGATGACAAGACACCTGGTGTTGTCCTTCAGCTATATCTTGCTCTGGTTAGGCCCCATTTAGATTATGCATTTCAGTTTTGGTCGCCGTACTATAAAATGGACATAAACTCACTTGAACGCGACCAACTTAGGATGACAGTTAATCCCCCAAATTAGAAACATGTCATATAAAGAAAGATTAACAAAGCTTAAATTGCGTTCACTGGAAAGGCGAAGAGTTAGGGGTGACATGATAGAGGTTTAGAAGTGAATGAATGGACATAACAAAGGGGATATTAATAGGGTATCAAAAGTATCAACATAAGACAGAACACGAAACAATGGGTATAAATTGGGTAAGTTTAGATTTAGGAAAGACCTGGTTAAATACTGGTTCAGTAACAGGGTTGTTGATTTGTGAAACCAATTACAGTGTAACGTGGAGATGGGGTCCCTCGATTGTTTCAAGCGTGGGTTGGACATGTATATGAGTGGGATTGGGTGGTTATAAATAGGAGCTGCTGCGTATGGGCCAATAGGCCCTCTGTAGTTACCTTTATTCTTATGTTCTTACTCAAACCTAATTTGTGTTACTTGTGCAACACTAGTAGAAATAATTAGATCGTTTAATTTTAAATGTGTGTAAAGTGCTAAACTATATATTTACTATACATCAATGTAAACAAAAGTTTACTGGTTGGATAGTAATTTTTTATTGCAATACCACATTGTATATTTTAATTAAACACTATAATGCAACTTTAAAAGATACATTATATATCTAGAGATATAAGCCCCATATTTACAGCTATCTTGTGCATGCACTCGTTCTCAAGCTGAGATTGAGGCTCTATAAGATTGTTCTGCCGTCTGTTTTTCCTCTCTTACATGTAAAAGGCTTGGCATCAGGTAGTTTCTTGGGAATATGTAAAATATGAAATGAGCATAAAGAATATAGATTATAAAATTAAAGAAATGAAGTATATTTACACAATACTTATTAATTATTATATATAGGTGCCCTACGTTAGTCTCTATTAAACAAGCTTGTGGTGACCCCAGTCATAAAGGAACTGCCGTTACCCATTTCTCTAGCTCCCTGCACCCTTTTTGTCTTCTTTCTTTCCCTGCCTAGTCCAGCAACCAGGAGGCCTGGTCGACGACCAGGCCGTGGGGACGCTAAGCCCCAGAAGCACCTCAAAGTAACCAAGGTAGGCCTACGACCTCTTCTCCCTCTCTCCCATCCAAATTTACCTGTTTAAAATGTATGGAAGGTCAGGAGTGTACTGTAAATTGTAGTAATTAATTTACTATACTATTTAGTTTCTTTGGTACTTTTTTAATGCCTGTAATATATTTTTCCTTTCAGTCGACTTGACTGGTTGCAAACAAGTCTCAAGCGCTGATGGTGAGGAGGATTGTGTCATTCGCCAAAGAATACAAACTGCAGAATAGACACATTACAAGTCACCGAATGTTTATCCATTCAGTGAATATATATAGGTATTCATGATACTTGGTATTGTTACATTTTAAATATTCATTCCATGAGTGCCATTTAAGTATATGAAATATTAAGATTTTTCCATTAATACAGAATATATATACAGTATATACATGTGTGCTATAATAGTGCTATTTTCTGCAGTGACTGCTCAAGAAAGCATATGGAATGTTGTGTGAATTATTGTTAGTAATACATATTTGTGTGCCTACGGTGCCAAGATATATCGGCTTCGTGTTAGTATTCTTGTTTGCTGCATAAGTCTCAATGTGAATACAGAATTCGAGAGTATTAATTGCTATGGTTTGTAGTGTTGGTGGTGCATCAGTCATATCATTAGTCTCTCTTGGTTTGTGTATGCTTTAAGTTAGTGTTCTTAATTAAAGGGATAACTTTGCTATAGTATGTCTGTGTTTAATACCTGAACAAGGAGCATGCTGAAATGTCTTACAGGTCAGCACAGTTTAGGAGTCCCGGTAGTACAGTTGGGTTCATTCTTGATGCCCAATTGAGAGTTCTGGGTTGGAATCCCTGGCAGGACGGGACATTTCCTTTCACCTAATGTACTTGTGATTGTACTTGTTCACCTAATGAACTGCCTCGTATGGGCCAATAGGTCCTCTGCAGTTCTTATTCCTATTACTATCCCCTCTACTACATCTTATTTTGCTCCTCACCGCTCTTGCCTATTTATTGTCTGCATCTACTTCATCACAATCGACTTGAGAATGGTCCAGGACAGATTCAGACCGAAACGTCGTCGTCCCTTCACCTTCTAGTGTGTGGTCTGGTCAACATAATTTAGCCACGTTATTGTGACTCATCGCCTGCATATAAATGCAGCTGTTTGGAAAATAAGCAAATGAATTGGTTTACTCTAACCTGTTTAAGAGTATTGGTTTGAGACCGTATATTAGACCCCAGCGCTGCCTAACTATATATTGTAATCGTACTTTTGGTTATGGGGAATAAATTTATCTCGACTAATGTATCTCAACTGTAATGCCACAGTATATTGGTCAAGTTATAGGTTGAACATAATGGGATACAAATCTATTTTATGAGCTCTCTGTGAATAAATTGTGTAACTATGTCAGACGTTCATCATTTCGATGCTACATTAATTGACTTATGTCCGAGGTGCACATGTCCGAGGTGTGTGCACGAGAGTAGTGCTAACCAAAGCAAGTGACTCCTGCACCAAGGGTATCACCGTACTGCCTTCTCCTGGGGTATGAAAATTGTTATAAAATAGTATATGAAATCTTTGTTTTGTAGGCCAAAATTAGGTCTGAGAGATTGCTGGAAATATTTTTAATACGGTATTTTTTTTTCCAAGATCATTGATATGCCAAGGTGGAAAGTGATACTTCATCATTAGAATTTGCTTAAAGTGAATTTAATTGTAAATCAATGTACAGTATATTAAATATTCTGTTTCCTTACAGTTTAGCAATTTGCTTTTATCAATACAATATTAGTGAAATAAAGTAAATTACATTTAATTAAATTGAATGTAGGTGATATAATAAATGAATGAATGCAATCTTTAAATATATCTAATCTTTTTCACTACTATATAGTGTTCCTTTTTTCTCCTGGCCTCCATCAGGAGAGTAAAGGCATGAGTGGACTATGCACAGGAAACCTTAATGTGTTTTCTTTTATGGATGCTACCATGGTACGAGGTGACTTCTATGCTGATCTCATGCTCCAGGGGTGGGGGGGGGGAGCAACTCACTTCTTTTGGTTCTTGAGTAGAAGAATAGGAGTAAAACAGACGGTTCAGCGAGGCCCGACAGTCTATTGGATAGTCTAACTGGTAGACCTGGCATACGGCTGTGATGGTGGTGGTGTTGGAAGTTGCCCACTTGGGTCATGTGGGCATTGGAGGGTTGGTATCTCTTTTGGTCCCCTGGACTGCCATTTGGACCCTCTACCGCTTAATATATTACCTCCTGGGTTGCCTCAATGCTTGTGCCTTCCTCTGTTCCTCCATGGTGGGTTAGGGTTACAGGAAAGTGGTCTTGTGTATTTTGCTGTATGCACACTCAATAAACACGCCACTCCTCTCTCACTTGGTGTGGTGGGCAACCAGGCCCGAGAGTTGGAGTGATCTAGAATATCGGTTCCCCTCCTTTCTCCAAAGAGGGATGCTCACTACTGAATCTAAGCCTCTTGTTTTGTTGCCCTGATGTTACTTCATCCTCAGCTTCCCCTTTTTATTCTCCATGACCCTGTTGTGTCCCTGGCAGTGGCATCTACTGCATTTCTGGTGGTAGCTGACTTGTCTAATGGTGTTTCTCCTTTACCGAGTGTCGTGTCAATGCTGTATGCTCTCGTGCTTCTAGGAGATGTTAACATCATAATTGGACTTGTATCGATACCAATGCCTTATTCCCTCCCTCCTTTCATGACATGTTTCGTCCACTGAATTGGGCCTAATATTCTGATCTCACATATGCTGACAGGTGGGTGCTGATGAGTTTGTCCTAGTGTGGTCTTTTGGTGCAGACATTATTTTCCATCTCCAGGAATCTAGCTCTGGCATCATTAAGGCTCACTCCCAGGAACAAGTTAGCTTCGTCCCTGTTCTCAACACCATTAAAGGGAGTCGTGCTTCTTGTTACGAAGGATCATTTGTGTACTAAGCTCGAGAGTTTTAAGATCTTACATCTCTTGCATTATCACTAATAATCCTCTTCTCAATATCTGGAAGAAGTTTCATAAGATTGTGGGCAAGTTTGTTCCTAGCATAGCATCTGTTCACATTCGTGATTCCTTTATTTTTGAGCCCGTTTTAGTCGCAAACAACTAAATTTTCCCATCTCGGCTGTCAGTATAGGTTCTCGCCTTCCTTCTATCTTCCTTGTCTTTATGTACATGCCAAGTCTCACTTCTTATACTCCTGATCACCCTTATATTGATTATTTCACTCTGAATTTCTGTCTACCCTGCCCTTATGCCACTCCATGATGGTGGAATCTGATGGTATGCATTTAAAATGCTCTGCCACCTCTCGAGTACCTTGTTGTATATGTTGCATATTTTTACCCACATTTAGGATACTGGCTCAGTCCCTGAAACCTGACTTGAGGTTGTTGTCCTCAGAATTAAGAAGCGTGGGATGCAGGACACTTCGGGAGATTTTCAACATAATAAGATAAAAGCCTTTAAAACTAAATACAGTCGATATCAATAAACAGAGTGAATGTAAAAAAAAATTTTGTGACCCATGAACTAACGTACTAGTTTTATATATGTATCATTCATCATACCAAAATAATATTTTATTTAAAATGTTTTGTGGCAATAAAATGGCAACTTTGCATTACATTAATGCTAAGCAATCTTGGACATTTACAGCATGCAGTACATACATCACATATTACTGTCTAGGTTTCAATTTCTTTTGATTACTATTGTACTTAACATCTGCATTTGCTGCAACAAGCCAGCTAAATGATGTAAAATTTTCTTGTTTTAAGGTTTAATTCATTTGCTTTAAGTATATAGTTTGATTTATTTCCCATGTTATATAGCTGTTACAGTATTGGAATGAAATGACTGTAAATATTTTTAGTCATTTAAATTATATTGTTCCAATTTTCTTGATAGCAAGATTGAACATGCAGGAACTTATCAGTACTGGCTTGTCTAATGATGAGGGGCCTGGCAGCTGAGTGGACAGCGCTCGGGATTCGTAGTCCTGAGGTTCAGGGTTTGATCCCCGGTGGAGACGGAAACAAATGGGCAGAGTTTTTCACCCCTGATTCCCCTGTTTACCTAATAGTAAATAGGTACCTAGGAATTAAACAGTTGCTACGGGCTGCTTCCTGGGGGTGTGTAACAAAAAGGGGGCCTGGTCGAGGACCGGGCCGTGGGGATGCTAAGCCCTGAAATCATCTCAAGGTAACCTCAAGATAACCCACCGTAGTTTGATGTCATTTAATGCCAGTCAAAAAATATTTGAAGTGGACAAAAGATTTTTACAATATTTAACCATCACAGGTGAAGCAGCTGTAACAGGTAGAGAGAGAGAGCAACAAGTAAGGGTAAATAATAGACAAGGAAATTTAAATGCTGAAATTTTAAAAGCTGTAGAGTATTGGATTAAGTTGTTTTAAAGAACTGTAGTGTTAGAGCAAATCATGAAAGGAAATCTGTGGGGTAATGTATTACTGTACGGTAATGTACAGTACACAGATAGGTTGAAGGTTGTACAGTGAGGAGTTTGGTGGATGCATTACAGTAAATGCTGTACTGCATAATGGGAAAGAATTTGGCAGTACACAGTAGCAAAATGATTGACTATAGTTAGGAAAGTGAATTTATAGTACAGCACCAAATGGTGAATTTTAGCTGCTGTATATGAAAAACGGTCTTGTGGCCAGGATTTAATGATTGCTCATACATGTATGGTAAAGATCTCTGGTGGTTTAGTTTAGCCATGAAGATATTAGTCTTCATTCTGTATTTACTTAAGTGAACCTTATTTAGTTTTTTTGAGAAAGGATATCCATTTAAACAATAGAAATTATTTATATTTAATCATCAAAATTAATAAGGAATACTTGATAAAATTAAATTTGACATTTCTTTAACATAAAACATGTTTGTTTCACTATTGTGGAAATTTCTTAAAGTATTTATAGGCTATTGTGCAAGGAGCTTTTCACATGTTTGGCATTAAAACATCATCTTATAAATAGACTTTAGAAAAGATAACTTTAAAAATAATAGCAGGATATGTTGGACGAGTTATTCTTGATGACTTCGATGCCATGATGGAAAGTGACAAAAATCCAGGTGCATTGCAGTCCTCCAGTACCAGAAGTGAGAGGAACTGTGTACTGAACATTATGAGTACTACTGAAGCCGAGTGATGCAGAGATTTAATAAGTGGGCAATCCTGAAATAAGATTGAGATCAGATAATCTTGATACTCTCATACAATATGTATTATATATACTGTTTGTGTAATAACAAGTGTAGTTACAAGATGAGAGTTACACTCATGGTGTCTGGTTTTCCAGTACTCTTTACTGTATCATATAATTCACACACAAATCACAATAGTGTGATATATCAAATAAACAAATCCACAAAGGCTGTGATAAGGGTTTGAGCCTACGCACGGGAGGTTCCCAGCCGCACCTTAGTCAATTGTGCTACAACACGGTTGACTAAGGCACAGCTGGGAACCTCCCGTGCGTAGGTTCGAACCCTCATCATGGCCCTTGTGGATTTGTATCACATAATGCTTTGATACTACTGACGGTTTTCACCACCTCGCTTAACTTGTTCCAACTATCTACCACTCTACAAAATTGAGCTTTCTAATATTTTTTCAGCTTTGTATCCTGTGTTTGAAACTGTCACCTTGTTCACACGTTTATCGA